CTTAAGTATTTGGGTGCATCATTGTACCGTGTTACGATCTCGTGTTACTGTTTAATATGTAAAGATAATTTAGTTATGTTGATGTTAGCGCAATGACAGCAAGTACGTGGAGAAAAAAGTTTCGTTTGTAATTTGAAATACTCCTCTGTGGCTCCTGAGTCGCTTGAGAGCTCTCAATACTATTATAAAGGTCACAGTTATAATACCTCTTTCCATGCAAGTCTTATCTTCATTCTTATCTGTAAGTACTGTTTATGTAATAGTCATTGATGTTGTGTTTTACATTAAATATTCATCATTCTGTTTCCACGTTCTGTACTTGAATATATTCCGATTAATATTTAATATCAAGATTGTTTTTTGAACAAATTGAGTGTTTCTACACAGCTATAGCCGACATTTCTGACCTTCACTTTTTCAAAGATGACAATGCACGAATTAACTTTAGTTACATTCAGTGTCCTTATTGGAACAAAGTGAAAAATCATTGAGGTTCGTACCTTTTTTGTGCCATTGATAACGTAGAAATGTTTTTTTTATATATGCCATTTCACCTTCGCGTTCTCGTCATGGATTTGGACTGAGAATAATGGCACGTAATTACACAATTTTAAACTAAACTATTTAAACTAGACTTTTATTATTTTACCAGGTAACACCCACTGAGCTATATAGCTCTTTTTCAGAAGCAGCTTGGCCATGAAGGATAGCTCAACAAAGTGGTTTATCACGTGGAAAATTTATAGCAGCCAAATACTCAAATGGATGTTGATTCTAAATTTGGAGGGGAAAATTAGAGACCCTGGAGAAAAATCCACGCTACCAAGGGAAGAACGTGCAAACTGCAAATATACAGGTGTCAGGGTCGCGATTGAACCCACAACCTCCTGCATACCAGATGAGGCAGTTAACATCTCGCCACCATGGGGCCCCTTTTGAAAATCATGTCACAGACTCTTCAGCATCCTTGCCACTGCGTTTATTGTAATTCAGCAGAGCAATTGCAATGCTTTTGTGGTAAACGATTAACTTAGTTCAAACTGACTGATTTAAGTGGCACGTTCCATCAGCTGACAAGAAACTACCATCTTAAAAATCTGTTGAGAGTGCTCTGGTAGGGTGTGTTACAGCTGCAGGCACTGGTTCCTCTTGAGTTACATCAGACTGTAGTTCACTCTGTCATGAGGTGTGAATCCGGTAAAGTTCAAGTGTTACCTAACCATTGGTAAATCAGCTGCCTTGGGTATAGATATTTAGATGTCATGATTCGGTTTTTGAAATGAAGGCAAATAACCTTTGCACGTCTTGCTTTTTCCATTATGACACCGTTGAAATAACATGCCACGGTGACAGTCAATTTGTTGATGTATTGTACTGGTGACTCAAAAAGGTTAACTGACATTTAAACACAGCAATGGGACGCTATATATAGAAGCTATTGCATATACGGCCGTTTTGTGAGTCAACTGCTGGATGAGGGACTCTCCAAGCCATGCAGGTTGTGGGGGTTAATCGATCGCACTTCACTACGCTGATAGAAACCTTCGTTTACCATTCAGATTAACCTGTCCCATTTAAATTTTGATTTAAGGCTTTCGTGACTGCAGGGATTCATATTCTTGGTTCTTTCGGTAAAGTCACGTAGAAGGGAAACAATAAAATAATAAAAATATAAAACAATACAATTCTCACGACGTTTCGACTGCAACACAAGCAATCATCATCAGGTGTGAAAAAAGCACAGCAAGAAAATTTGAAAAAAGTGACGGTTATTTTTAACGTTAGCACCACGGAGAGCGATTTGACAGTTTGTTCAGATGGACGAGTCCATCTATGTTGGGAAGACGAAAATAATGGATGCGGTCTGAAAGCCACCATAAGCGTGGACAATCAATTAAGACCCGAAATGGTTTATCAACTCCTTCCAATGATTGCTAAGTCAGAATCCATCTTCTTGGTTGAAATTGTCTCTGTGTTTGTATATGTGGATAGCCTCATGAACGAATCTCTCATGGTAGCCAGATGGCTTACATATAACTTCTGTCTTGGAGAAGTCAATGTCATGTGAGCCTACTGAATTATAACAGTGATCTGCCACAGCCGAGGTGTTGGTCCTACTGTGTTTTAGGTCTGCTTTGTGTTCACGAATGCGGTCCGAGACAAGTCGTTTGGTTTCTCCAATGTAACTACTACCACAGAGGCAACTTAGTTTGTAGACGCCAGGGTACTGTATGTCCGGAATCACATCTTTTACAGACGGAATCAGATCACGGATTTTATGTAATGTGACTCGGACTTGGATCTTGTGTTTATTCAAGATTTTGGAGATCTTTTTTGTGATCCCTGCAATGTAGGATAAAGTGATGGTTTTGAAAGGATCCTCAAGAGGGTCCTTCTTCATGGTTGGAGTGATAGCTTTGCGGATTGTGTAGTCGGAGTAACCATTAGCCTTAAGAGCTTGGTGTACGTGCTTGAGTTCACTGGCTATGTGTTCCCAGTCGGATATGCATTGGGCTCTATGGTGGAGAGTCTTGATGAGGTATTTCTTCTGGGATGGATGGTGGTGGGAATCCGGTTTCAGGTAAGCATCCGTATGGGTAGCTTTCCTGTAGACAGAGTGGCTCATTGAACCATCAGGTCTCTTTTTTATTTGGACATTCAAAAAAGGTAGCTTGCCATCTTTTTCGACTTCCATGATAAATCTGATGGCTGGGTGTATGGAATTGATGTGGTCGAAGAATTGGTCTAGAGCAGGCCGGCCATGTGGCCAGATGACAAAAGTGTCATCCACGTACCTCTTCCATAAGGTTGGGCATAGAGTGGCAGTCTGGATGGCGTCTGTCTCACATTTCTCCATGAAAATGTTGGCTACAACGGGAGATAGGGGGGAGCCCCGGTTGTAGCCAACATTTTCATGGAGAAATTTGAGACTGACGCCATCCAGACTGCCACTCTGCGCCCAACCTTATGGAAGAGGTACGTGGATGACACTTTTGTCATCTGGCCACATGGCCGGCCTGCTCTAGACCAATTCTTTGACCACATCAATTCCATACACCCAGCCATCAGATTTACCATGGAAGTCGAAAAAGATGGCAAGCTACCTTCTTTAATGTCCAAATAAAAAAGAGACCTGATGGTTCAATGAGCCACTCTGTCTACAGGAAAGCTACCGATACAGAAATAGGTTTTACCCTTTTAACTGGCACAAAAACTGACATCTTTATTCAAGGCATCATGTTTGCAACAACCACAACACAAGCAGTCAAAATGCAAACAAAAGAGACAACTCTGATAATAATATGCACTGTCCTTGAATTTGATTGGTCCACACCCGAGACGGCTTTTCTTAGAGCCTAGTCTCCATGATGCCTTGAATAAAGGTGTCAGTTTTTGTGCCAGTTAAAAGGGTAAAATCTATTTCTATATCTTGTTACTGGCAAAGGAGGTCTCATAAAGGAAAGCTACCCATACGGATGCTTACCTGAAATAGGATTCCCACCACCATCCATCCGAGAAGAATTCCCTCATCAAGACTCTGCACCATATAGCCCAATGCATATCCGACCAGGAACACATAGCCAGTGAACTCAAGCGCACCTACACCAAGCACTTAAGGCTAATGGTTACTCCGACTACACAATCCGCAAAGCTATCACTCCAACCATGAAGAAGGACTCTCTTGAGGATCCTTTCAAAACCATCACTTTACCCTACATTGCGGGGGATCACAAAAAAGATCTCCAAAATCTTGAATAAACACAAGATCAAGGTCCGATTTAACACATTACATAAAATCCGTGATCTGGTTCTGTCTGTAAAAGATGGGATTCCGGACATACAGTACCCTGGCGTCTACAAACTAAGTTGCCTCTGTGGTAGTAGTTACATTGGAGAAACCAAACGACATGTCTCGGACCGCATTCGTGAACACAAAGCAGACCTAAAACACGGCAGGACCAACACCCCGGCCGTGGCAGATCACTGTTATAATTCAGTAGGCTCACATGACATTGACTTCTCCAAGACAGAGGTTCTTTGCAAGCCATCTGACTACCATGAGAGATTCGTTCATGAGGCTATCCACATATACAAACACAGAGACCATTTCAACCAAGAAGATGGATTCTGACTTAGCAATCATTGGAAGGATTTGATAAACCATTTCGAGTCTTAATTGATTGTTCACGTTTACGGTGGCTTTCAGACCGCATCCATTATTTTCGTCTCTCCCCTCCTCTTTTCCCAACATAGATGGACTCGTCCATCTGAACACACTGTCAAATCGCTCTCCGTGGTGCTAACGTTAAAAATAACTGCACTTTTTTCAAATTTTCTTGCTGTGGTTTTTTCACACCTGATGATGATTGCTCGTGTTGCAGTCGAAAAGTCGTGAGAATTTTATTGTTTTATATTTGTATTATTTTATTGTTTCCCTTCTACGTGACTTTACCGAAAGAACCAAGAATATACTGTCCCATTTAATTTTTTTGTTGTTGTTTTATAGCTGAATTGATTGTGTGACATTTGACTTAACCCTCAAGTATTTGTTGTGTAATATATCACCATTCTATACATTCTCATCTGCCCCTTCAAATTTATTTCTCACAATGTCATTTTCCTGTGGTTTATCAGTTCCTGGTTGCATAAAATGGAAATCATTGACATACATTGAACATCGGTGACAGCAGGAATGTTATCACTCAAAACAGGGTTCTCATCTCTAATTTAAATTATAAATACTCCCAAAAGACACGGTCTGTATAATGCTTACTTTACACTTACATAATTCAAATATGTGAAAATGATGAGTCAGCCATTGCCCCTTCTCTGTGGGGTTGATATAATGAATACCTCTTTGTTAAAAGTAAATAATTGGAATGATGACTGGTCCCCACAATAAGAATGTGGAATTACCACTGCACTGCCGCATGCTCGTTTGAATGGTGAGATATTTCACTTTCAAGACTCGTTGAGATGTGTTCATCTTTGTGTTACAGGATCTCCTGGATTTACAAAGCACCATAAGGACATGCAGTACCGTAGCAACGCTTAGCCGAGTCCCATCCCCCGCAGACTGAATGGGCAGCGTTCTTCGCTTGAACACGTCCCGTTGAGCTGTGCACGTGACCAGAACCACGGGTAACCGTCCATGCGCCGTGAAGACGAGGACCTGACGGAGCGTGCGTGACACACGGGGCGGCGCAAAAGGAGCAATGGCACAGCTGGAGAGCGGAGGGATGATGCGGAGGGGACCGTCCTCGGCGAGGTCCGGCGCTCGTGTTCGCGCTTACTCGGCCGAGAGCGTGGGCATGGAGGAGGCACTGCGCATGGAGGCTGATGCGCTGGCCAAGCTCCAGAAGAGCAAAACGAAGGGTGCGGTGAGCCAGCACGGCGGCCAGGCGGAGGCGAAATCGGCGGGCAGCAGACGGGAAGCTCCGGCAAGCGGCGCTTCAGGTGGGGGGTGTGGAACGTGGTGCATTTGTTGACGTTGTAAAATGCGGTCTTCCCAAACGGGAATTTGGTTGTTGCTCGTTGTCATTAGTGGCGTTGGGCCGGCGGTGGAAGTTCCGCAAGCCCTTGCTGGCAGGGCCAGTGTCTATAGAATGGCCACTGTTGACTTTCCATGAAGTAGTGGCAATTGTATTGATCACTTGCATTAGAGATTATAGGCTGAATCCAAGCTCAACTGGTGTTTGCAACTGCTACATCTTGATTATGAGTTGAGCGCTTTGACAACCGAACTGCCCGGCTAGATTTAATCTATAAGTTGGTTAAATATCCTTGTTGGCTTGTCTGCTCTGAAGAGAAGCTTTACGTGAAACAGTCGACTGTATTAGTGTCTGTGGTGAAGTCAGCATTGGGGAAGTGGACAGCTCCATTGGCATCCCCGAATTAGCATAGAAACTTCCACTTCCCATAGTTGTAGCTTTTCATCCACAGGATGGGCAATGTTTATGTTTTAAGGCAACGTTATTTACAGCAAAATCCCGTGAAAGTGGACTAATTGGAGGGAGATCCTCCAGTTATGGTGGATGTCTGACAAACTGAGAATGTGAAATTGCGATGTTTTAATCACATATACATGCAATTAACACCTAAGATTAACTACATCTTTCCAAGTGAAATGTGTACAACCATGACTTCAGCAGTACAGTATAATCCAAGTTGCTTACCATCAAGTAAGAAGCAGAGAGAGGCTGAGTGAGGCTCACTGGATATGGAGGGCTAAAGAGATTTGCTGATGGCCTTGAAGAATGTCTTTTCTTAATTTGGAAAATAAATGTAAAATTAACGTGAATCAAAATAAGTGAGCAATGAGCAGAACATGCAGCATCCACTCCAGCAGGTTCGGCAAATTGTGTTAAACATAACCTTGAAATGATTAATGCACACGTGTGTATCATGTTCCACTAAATAATTTGTACTTACCCTGAATTCTGTTTTTTTCGAATGGATTTGTACTGTACTTTATTGTTGTGGTTGTTTTAACTCTTTGGTTTATATATTCTTTGGCATTCTTAATTATGCTTTATTTGACACAGCTCTCGCAATACTGAACTGTTTGAATAGTTGGCAGACGAATTCAGCAGCATTTTTGCAAGCATCTCAGCTCCATATATGACCGACACTGCTGGGCTTTCATTTGGTAATTCTACCAAGCACAATTCTAGATACATTGATTATCGACATGGCGCACTTGTCCACGTGGTCATGAGTGTCATCTCCTGGGGTTGGGAATAAAATGTATTCGCCAATTTCTTCCGAAGTCAATTTATTCCCAATTCCATCCAAATGGTTATGTTTGCTATCGTCGGTCAATCAGGTTTCAAGAGAATATAGGGTTCAAGTCGTAATGAACGGGTAGCATTTACATCAGTGGCTGCTGGTAAAAGCTGCCAACAATCGATGCTGGATTACTGCAAAGTGCTGGCACAATTTGCTCATGGTTGTAAAACGTTCTGATAAGGGCAGGCTCTTCTACTGGTGTCGGAGAAATCTTTTTGGGTGCTTGCCCTTCTTAACGTTCTGCCCTTTGACACAGAAGGACCTTGTCATCGAGTCCCATGAATCTGTGTATTATAATTGTCATGTCCGATCAAGGATTCCAATATCTGGATTATTGCCGCTGCCTGAACTTTGATGTCTCCAGGCTTCGGTCATGCAAAATGTCATAAATGTGCATTTGGCTTTCAGACAGTTTCCGTGCTCTGAATATTGTGGAAACAAGTCTGTGTCATTTGATTTGGAGAGAATACTACAAATTCTTTGTCCTGAATGCCAAACACCATAACAACACGCTTCTTCCCATTGCGTAAAGGAAATGCTCGATAATTTGTATTTCTTACAACATGTTAAAACATCATTTGTGTATTACACATGTGATGGTATATGGTATGATGAAATGGTGATTGTACTTAACGTTACATCAACAATGACCCCTTTGACTCGTGCTACTCGGATTGGTCTTGTGCAAGTGCTTTTGTTGCCTGAAGATAAGTTACGTAATACTCAGGATGTAAAATAAGACTGATGTGACTTAATGGGGATTTATCATGACTAATATATCCTCTATGCTTAAATGGCATTGCTGGAAGGCGGTCTCCATTATCACCTTGGTACCCATAACCCCTATCGGTTTTGCATTCATTTGGTCCGGGTTGCTTAAGCAGATTGGCTGTGACATGAAGCATGAACATGTAAGCTTGCATGTTATGGAATATGCACATTTGAATAGCTGGACAGTTTTATATTCACATCCCTGGCAGGAAATGACACAGGTTGTCTCTGTGCCAACATGTAAGATCCTATTGCACAAATATTACAACCGGAGCATTACACAATAGTCTACAAAGTGCTGGCGTCACCTTGTATTTGTGCGATCACATTTGCGGAAGCTGTAGTGTTTTAAACGTGATCATTTAAACATGCTGTTATAAAGGATGCCTAAGAAATGTTTGATGGTATAGAGTGGCAATGCTGAGCATGTGTACCCTTGGAATTGCACTCTGACACATTCGGCTAATCATGATTAAGTTCATGGTGCGTACAGTATTTTCAATATGTAATCTATTATTCCCAGTGCGATACACGGGATGAAAAACAAAAACATTACATTTGTAAATAATAGCGGTAATGCTAATTACACTTGGATTTATTACATAAGTATGTATGCATGTATGTTGAACTTCTTTTGCACCGTACGTAGCCAACCATGCTAATTGGAGGTGTGGGGGAAAGAGAACAAACTAAACAAAAAGCAGTTCTCAAGACATCAGTTTTCAATCGAGATTTAAAAGTGCGTATCTCCAGTGACTTCCGAATATCGGAAGGAAGGGACCATAGCTATTTATTCTATACTTGGTTTTATTTATCGCTGGTTTTTACCAAAGGTATTACGTATTATGAACAACACCGGTGATAGCTCGACAACCAATATTGGGAAGAGTCATGAGAATGGTAATAATAACTATCACCGCCCGACCGTTTGCACTGGATGCTCGGCCACGGTGGAGGGGTGGGAGGTGGGGCATGCGTCACGACAGCACCGCAGCCACCCGGCTCGGCCACTGTTTTTTTGCGGTTGACGTAATCACGGAAATGTGCGCAGTGCCGTCACTACCGCACGCTTGTCCATCTGTCCGTCCGCGTGTCAGCCAGCGAGCCAGCCAGCCATCGAAACTTCAAAAAATTATATTGTATAACAATTTTGAACTTGTAACGCGCACATCATTTGCCCAGGCTCGAAGAGAGAAAACGACTTGGAGGGGCAAGTAACCACAGACAAGCGGAAAGGCAACCATGCAATGATCCGGTCAATTATTGAGGGTTAGCATGTGGGAGGAAACTGGAGAATAATAACTGAATGACGGAGCAGAAGAAGGGAGATATGGAGCAATAAAATAGGAATATGTGTGTGATGGTTTGCATTGGTAAAGCATCAGAGGCGGCAATTGGAAGCATTCACCTGGCAGTAGGTTTAGCGTGGCTTATGATGATGCCTTACATTAAATCGAGATGGTGTACCCTATGACACTTTTACAGTCACAGTTGAGGTTTTGTGCAGTTGCACTCGGGTAGTTTAAATAAGCTTTTCCAGGTTAACGATAAAACGCGTGCGCGTACTCCACAGGTCCTGCGCGGTCCCAGCTGGACAGCGACCTCATCTCATTCCCAGAGGGTGACTTGGAGCGCCGGCGGCAGCAGAAAGCAGCCGAGGCCAAGGACTTGGCTGACCTGGAACTGCTGCTCTTCGTTAATGGCACGGGCACCGGCACGAGCACCATTACCCCTGCTCAACCAGCGCCAGTCATGTCCCCAGCACTGCCAACGGTTTCTGGCCGCGCTCCCTCTACCCCGCTGCCCTCCTTTTCACCCCTGTCTGCACCAAGCCATGCTGTGCTGCAAACTCAGATGCTGCCGCTGAGTCGGAGCTTGCCACAGAGCCAGACGCTCCCACCAAACCACCTCATGGGCACTCTGCCGTTCGCCGCGGCACCGCAGCAAATTTCGTTGTGTCCATCCGGCTACAGTCAGCCCATGGCTGGCTTCGCCAAAGATTCCAACCTGACCAGAAACCATGCTGTGGCGGCTGTCTCGTACTCGTACCCACAGCTGCAAGCCGCTTTTCCACAGTGGGGCACCGCTGGGAGCCTCGCTGCTTTCCCAATGCACCGCCCGGTCGTGGGCTTCACGCCACCTGGAGCCGGCTACACGCATGCCGCTCACACGGCCGAGTGGGCCGAGGTCTACAACAAGATCGCCACCATCAAGAAGACAAGGCAGAGCGAGAGCCAGGGAAGTGGCCAGAAGTCCCCCTCGGACTTTGAAGCGTTGGACCTGAACCCCGTGTCGCTGAAGTCTCCGGAGACCCTGCGCTCTGGAGGCTGCGACTGGCTCGACCTGGACCCGATCGGCAAGCTGCCGCAGACGGTCGGGGAGTCGGCCAAGATGAATGGCGGAGTCAAGGACGTTCAGAGCCGGACTGGGGCCATCGCGGCGGGCGCTGCCGCCCCTGACACGGACCCCTGGGATGCAGTTCTCCTGCAGCCGCAGAGCCAGGCCGGCAGCCAGAAAATTGTCACGGTGGGTGGGTCGCTTTCTTGATTGGCGGCAGGTGCAGTTTTGTTGTTCACGTCCGGGATGTTGTTAACATTTGATTAACCGGAAGGGAATGGTGGGGAGGTGAAGGAACAAAAAATGAATTTCAATTTTGTGTTTAGTAATCAAATTTAAAGTATCCATGTGCTTGGGAATTTTTTTTCTTTCAATGGGGACTTTGGGAATGTGTTTAATAACGAATGTGGTGGGGGTTTTTTTTAGTCATGTCTGTACACCGCTGCAAACAGCCCCTTACGTTTTTGTTGTTGTCTACTTTTGGAAATTGTTAGTTGTGTGGATTTGTTATGTCTTGTTTTCTGGTGCTCTCGTAATTATCGGGGGATTGTTCACTGATGGGGCACGCATTGATCTACCTTCACGGAAAACGTCAGTCTCTAACGCTGCCTTGTTAACAGCAGATACTGCTTTTGTAATTCTCTAGATATTTAGCTGCTGGGATTTGGAGACATGCCGTCAGCTGCATGCAATTTCAGCCGAATAATGAGAGTGAGGGCCTCTGTACTCTGCAGACTAATATCTAACTCTGAATGTTTACCATTCCTTGTGTAGACATTTTTTTTTTAAATAGGTAATTCCCTTATTTATTGAACGTCATTTTATTTGAATTCCTGCAGCAAAAAATAAAACTGGATTTCACTAACGGTCACGAGGAAATAGATTATTGTAACTCGCAATAAACCACTGCCCACTGTAATCGATTGAAACAGGAAAATCATTGTCCTGTTGTTTGCTGAATCCCTTGCTGGGCTTTATTTGTTGAAGAAAATATTTTCCATTACAGCAACCATTGTGTAGCATCCCATTTCTATAACGTTTCATTGTTGAGGGATAAAAATAACTTGAGGTATTACAATATTTAAGCAGGCTTTATGCTATGAACATTAACGATAATAAAAAAAGACCAGTATCAATCATGCAATTGTTTGCATGTTTACATGAAAGCAAGTTATCCCTGCCTTCACCTCCCCCTCTGCACCCGCACTGATCAGTGTGGTGAAGAATGGTCAAATCGCCCTCACGATACATGGCACGGTGAAGTCCTCATCCCAAAGTGGATTGACACGAACAGCAGCACATGTGCATCGTTGTAAAAATCAAAACAATTCACAATGCTCCCGTGTTAGTTTCATTTAAACAGAGGTTGCATCCTAGGCTGTGCCGAAGAGCTATGAGCGGTTAGAATGTTATCTGACAGAATGGGAACAAATTGCATGTCCATCTGCAAACGCTGAATTCACAGGAAGCAGATGGCAACTCCGATGGGAATAGGCTGAGCGGCCCCGTGGAGGGTCGCCCCACGAGCCCTGCAGCCTCAAGGCCACTTTCCAGGACACTGTCGGACGAGGCACCGTTGGAATCAGGCTCTCGGGGAAAGGGTAACATATCCAGCAAGGTAACAGCCCCCACTAAACACCGCTCTGGTTTTTTAGTTTGAAAACTCATTTATTTAGAACTGCTTTTTGAATTTAGTTTGTCCTTCCCCCGAACCGACCATTAACACACATACGTACACCTGACGATTTACCACCCCAGCGATTTTCTGAGTTGTCACGACTCACGGTGGCGTTTCGATTGTCTTGCGTCGATTATTTTTTTTGTCTTTTATTCGCCATCTCGTATGCTCCATCTCGTAGTACACCTAGTAAGCCCAATAATGGCAAAAGCGTACTATGTGCATTTCGTTCCCATGAATTGTAAATAGTTGATATATGCACGTTGTTGTATGCATTTATCATGAGCAAAATAATGCGTATGAAAAACTGTATCATTTAAGTAATAAATCGGTGCATCGATGCCTACGGGGTTTCCAGTTTTTTATACTTTAGTGTAAACCAGAGGCCCCCTACATTGATACTCCTTGCAGTCATGTAAACCACAAGGTCAGCAGACCAGCTTTCATTTGTTATCGCTTCATTTTAATATCACATGGCTGCTGTCTGCACTGATAGCACTTCTGTGGAATGCATCACCCAGTACGGTAAAATTGTGTTTTTTGGAGCCGTGTAAGCTTTCCCAATGATGTTTTTATATAGATATACACAGTATTGTCAGGAAGTTGCGTGGATTGCATCCATATACCAACATTTAGGATTGTTCATTATGTGCAGTGGATATTGAACAGCAAAGTGGTATTGAGTTAAATATTATTTTCGTCTAAACATGTATGAGCAGTTTGCTGACTTCTGGTTAAAAGAAAATATTAACCAGATGTTGTTATTGTCACTCAGTGACTTTGTTCGTACCAGATTGTCTTCACCGGACTTGGTAAAGTCCACATATTTGGCTCCAACACCAAAAAAAATACCAAGGCGTCAAAGTTCTCAGCTTTGAAAACATTAGCGCTATGAACAATGCTTTTCATGGCTGTAAGGGCGAGGGGTTACTCAGTAATGAATGGCGCCGTAGACCCGGCAACTGCGTGTGTTCACGTGATGCAAGACATTTGCCAAGTAGACAGCATGACGTGTGACCTTGGGTTCTTCTAGCAAAACATTTTACATTTTAAAAGTTATTTGTAAAGAGCAGGATTTGGCCAAACTTCAGGCAACTTGTTTGCAATTGGAATTAGATTCCATGTGCAATATCGGAAACTGTGACATGGAAAGAAAACACATTTCTACCGTCACACATGATGACGTGGAAAAGTAAACGTTTTGCCTAAGTGCATTGCACTGCACATAACATTAGGCTACGAGTATCTGTCACTCAAGTGACAAGCATTCTTATTTAGTTTTCTCATACAAACAATGATATTCTTCATACTGTCCCATATGTACGTAATATAACATCTCGATCAGGCAGGTACTTTTGTGTTTTATGCCCGAAGTCTGTTGTTACGTATGAAATGTTACAACTCATGTGGCCCCAATTGGGCTTGTGGAATGGCAGATAAACTGGACATGAAGCCACTAAGTTGAGCTATCGTTTGTGGCCAGGTTGCCTCTGAAAAAGAGTGATAGGGCTCAGTGGGCCTTACCTGGTAAAATAAAAAATCATATTAAATAGTTTTTTTTTGGAAGAAATACTTTTATCTTACCGGTACTTAATGTGACATTTCCTACCTATTTTCCCGTTTCCTTGGGTCTTTTTAGAGCAATTCATAAGTTGCATTCTTTCAACAGCCTGGATTGCGTAATTACTCACAGTTACTTTTATTAGAATTTCGTGCTGTCACATTCTGACAGTTTTAAAAATGTACAGCTGGGTTGCAGCTTCGGTTACCGTACTGGATTTTTTTCTTCCAACAAATGGAGACTGAAACGTTGAAAATGTTGGTTTGAATGGCTTTGCCGGTGCCATGTATACTTTGTAAATTGAGCCAGCATAATAATGTAAACATCTGAATACCGAACTATCATGTTCAAACTTGTGGAAAAACTTTAGTATCCATTTTTGGATTTTATTGAACTTTTCTTCAATTTGGCTGTCTTCTCAGTAGTCTGATTATGCCTATTTGAATTTCTTTCAGGGGAAATAGTCTTTATGGAATTTCTGTAAGGAAGCCGGCTTTTTCACAAGGGGCCTTTGTTTTGAGTGAATATTCAATTCGCAAAATTTGAATGAATAATAATCATATTAAATGGCTGTGCAATTGTCCTTTCATTTGCAGACTGAGGCCAATTATATACATAATTTAACATAATGCGTTCAACTCAAATTTTCCAGTGCTGTTCATTTACATGCTAATACACTAATAAATATAAAAGTACTTAAGCAAAAAGTTATTTTTTTTAATGGCTAGAGAAATGGTTCAAATGGCATGCCACTCGCGTGTTATTCTCGTAAACTATGAATTTAATGTTGACATTTATTTTTTTAATGACCCTGAGTGGTTCTGGTGTGTTCAGTGTTCAAACGTAGGGGATGGTTCATCAGAAGATGCGCTGTTTAAATCGTCGGATCGCAAAAACGAAGAGGTGGCATCTTTCTGCGACATGATCTCAAAGTAAGATGTCTTCCCCTGATCTGGCAACCGGAGGACAGTGGCCTGTGGTTTTACCTGCAAAACTCCACCATGCCCCATGGTTAAATTGGATTCGCAATTATGTTGAGTTGATGGTCTCAGCCTGGTCACTAAAGTCTGCCCAAAAAAACAACCGTATTATATTTTTTTGTTCACTTAATTTGACTGAATTCCAGCGCTAAGAATTTAGAAAAAGGATATCGGTTTAAACTGCCCTGCCATGAACGTTTATCTATAACAGGGCATGTAGCAATGTGTGGATGAAAAGGGATTGTCAGAAGCAGTTTTGTGAGATCTCCTTCTACAGGCCATTGTCTGCCACAATGGGTTTTGCATTTCTTTCTGAGGTCACAAAATAGAGGTGATGCTAATAGCACAAAATAAAACACTTTTGGTCTTATTGTAATCGTGCTAAAATAGTGAAATGTACTGTTTATGAATGTACTTACATTTGGTTTGATCTAGTGAATGTGTTTACTGGAAGAACGGATATAGACTACATTGGCAATCAAGAATGAAAGTGTGTTGATCACTACATTTGGAACCTTACATTCATATTAAACTTCTTACGAACAGTTGGTAAATCAATAGCTAATGAATAGCATGCTCTCGTGTTATTTATCTCTACGTTATGCTGTAGTATTGGAATTACCGATGTTGAGATTGCAATGCAAATCAATATTTGCATTACCGATGTTAGCAAATAAGACAACCAAATTCTGTACCTGCATTAATTAAACAACAGAGTACATATTTACAAAACTGCACATGACTTACAATTTAAATATTGTAAATATGAAGAGACATTTGTAAGTTGCAAATGAATCCATCCAATATCTGGTGTGCTCACCAAAAATATTAAGGACTGTTATTTCTGCTTCCTCCTACCGATTATTTTCTTTGGCACTGGCAGTGGTGACAATTGTTTATCCAACCAAAAATGTGGTTTTGTCTATGGCGGGGTACGTGGCTGTGATTGAGAGTCTTTAAATCTTTTGTCGTGAATGAGCTTCCGAAATATGCATCGGAGGAGGATGGGGAAAACAGTCGTCGTTGAGCAGACGTATTTCCATTGTCGGTGAAACTGGACTTTTAACGAGCGACAAGTTTGTGTAGGAGCGCATTAAAATAGCTGAACCTCAAGATGTGTGTGTGTGTGTATTTTTTTGTCCTTTTTTTTTCACCCCCGCTACAGACTTCGTGAAGAGCACCCCCACATGTCGTGCAGTAACCTCGGCTTTGTGCTGAGCCCTGTGCTCCTTGAGAGAGACCTGAGCAAGGAGAACGTGAGCGTCAAGGTCACCATCGAGATGGAAGGCCTGCAGCAGCCAGTCACGTTCACCTGCGACGGTCAGGACCCTTTGTCCTTAATCGTGTCTCTCTCTGCGCATTCTCTCTGTCCATAATACGGGGGGGGGGGGGGTTTGGGACAGATTGCCTAAAATATAAATGTGTGATTAAATCCGCCACCACAATTAGTGAATTGGATAATATTGGATAATAATTATTATGGAGAAGATTGGATGCGAAAGCCTAAGTGTTAAACTATTATCTGTGTTAAAGTGTGTAACTTGTCTCCATGTACAAGTTTCTACTTTTACAATCAACACAGTTTTATCACATTATTGGAGTCGTGATGACTGTCACATGGCTACAACAAAATACAATTGGTTGGTCGATGTAAGGTCTTCAATTGAGAAAAAAAAATCTTGTATGAGAAGGCATTGAGGTTAACAAACCTTTGATGTTTAAACGTTCATTGTTTATGACGGTGTGGACTGCGAGTGTCTGGCATTGCTCGCCAAGGATCCTGAAGCTGAATTTGGCAAGCGCAGTCTGGTAAATATTGCAGACTGCAATAATAGGTACAGGCCACATCCATAAAGCTGAAAGGAAAGGAAGAATTATCTTTCAAAGCCCTGCCTTACAAAATCACGTTAAACCTACACATCCTATTATCTGATGACCTTTTACCCGTTGCAGCGACAATCCGTTTATATATCAGTCCTCTTACACTTCTTAAGTCCTGATTGTATTTGAGCAGGAAACGTTATTTTGATTTAAAGCTTTCGTGACTGCAGTAATCCATATTCTTAGCTCTTTCGGTAAAGTCACGTTGAAGGGATGATGACCGTTTGTGTTATGGTCGAAACGTCGTGAGAATTTTTATTGTTTTATATATATTTTATTGTTTCCCTTCAACGTGACTTTACCGAAAGAGCTAAGAATAAGGAAACGTTATTGTTAAAACAAATGTCAGCTGATAGGGAAGTCATGACATCGAAGATTACAACTGGGTTCATCTTTACTCTGGGTTGGCCTGCAGCCACTTGATGTTCTTCTCAATGTCATTTTACATTTCCACTTCGGAAAATATTCTAAAACGTCCGGTGATAATTTCGACATGCACGGTGAATTAACACGGTGGTCTTTCAGCGCCCACACAACCTTCCAGTGCCATTAGCCTTGCCTAATATACAGTGCTTGTCTGCGGTGCTTGCAGACCCAGCTGAATGTGCTGGCTGCTGTTCAACTTAAAGTACCGTGTATCTTAAAGCCCACATTAACCTTCACAAGGCATTCAATTGCTTCTCTCAGATAATATAATCAATAGTCATCATCTTCGCTGTGTCCTGCAACAGTCTCCCATATCCATCCGTGAATTATTGTGCATATATTTAGTCGTAATTTTTAACTGGAATTGATTGATATGCTGACACTTGCCACCTTAGTCGTAATTTAGTGGAAATCTATAATACTATTTCAGGTTCGACATTATATGCAAGGCAGGCGCAACATTCTGTTTTAAATATAAATGTATGAACTTGTTTTTAAAATGCTTTCACATCCAAACTTCATTTCTCCAGTTATAAGACGGAATAAAATTAGGCTTTATAATTTTTGTGTTTTAAGATACAAATTATTTTGTTTCGAAAACATTACAACAAAATGAATGCTACTGTATATGTAAAACTAAGAAAATGCATGTTTAGTCAGGTTCAGTTTATTTTGAAGTAGCTTGTGAGCTAAGAAGCTTGTAAGTTGGGTTTCATCAATCTAAACCACACACCGTTTCCGTAACAGACGTAACACATCATAGAAAGAAAAATAAATAATGCAAATGAAGAAATCGTTTAAAAAAATAGGAAATAATATAATTTCAAATATAAAAATTTATCTTTTAAAAGTTTTAGCACAATTAAGGAAACAAAAAGTGCAATATTAGGCATAAAAAGTGCCAGTGGTAAAACACACCATTTCCAAAGAAACACTAAATTAAAATCTCCAATAAAAATATATAAATGTGCCATCAATCAACCACGACATTGCACTGAGCAAAACAAGCAACCAAGATGACAGAATTACCTTGTGGAAATCTACAGGATCGTACACATAAGTAGTCCACGTGACAAGCTATCATCTGTCATGCACATTGGACAAATGTTTTCTGGATTTTAATTCTTAAACAAGTATATGTTACTGGCCTACTTCTCATCGATGCAAAATAATGTTTGCATCGATGAGAAGACAACTCTCTTCTGGTCATACCCTGCTCTATCCAGATGAGAAAGTGGACATAGGCATTTCTCTGCCTTGAAGCCTTTTGCAGATGTACAAGGTTTGGACGGCAAATGAACGGTCACGTCTTTCGTAGACAGCTTTGTTCTGTCCGATGTGTTTTAAGTTTGGCCCTTATGTTGTTCGGCAAAATGTCCAACGTTTCGCTCTCCGTGCTGGGATCTCCTTCAGAAACTCGACTGAGCGTCTCACTCTCTCCCTCGATTGCATAGCATGGCTGTTCCCCTGTTGCTGCTTCCTGTTTGTAACGTTGACTGGCTCGGCTCTCTGATTCAGGACAATTGAAAACCAACGAAATATTAGTTGTCTCTCCCGCTGCACGAACGTCAGTGGCGCTGTTTTCTGATGGATGTTTTCTGCTCTGGGTGGTGGGCAGTGAGCTCCCCGGTGGAGCTGATCGTGATTCAGGCGCTGTGCTGTACCCACGACGACCTCGGCAAGGTGGTGACCAGCGACTACGTGCTCCGCGTGTGTGGCCGGGAGGAGGTGCTGCAGAGGTATGTTCAGAGAGCACTGGGTGCCTATCAGAGGGGACCTTCTGGTTCTCAGATCTCTATATACCCCTAGTCAATAAGGTAGCTTTTTTATTCAGAACCAGGGCCAAGGTCTTTCGCGATTTCTCTGTTCTATATTTGTCACCGGTCAGAAACCACTGAACTAAAAATAACGTCTGCTCTCATCAATCAATATTACTAGGTTAGAGTCCGCATGGATCGAGCATCCATTTTCAAAGGGGACACGGAGTGTCTAATTTCAAATATTATCCGCTTAAACATATGTGTTTACAATTGTTCACGTTCTACAATCTGATATTTTTAAAAATGATTATTTTCACACATGCACACATACTCCAGTTAAAATAAAAAATGAAAATGTCCCTGTTCTTTAATTGTTCATTGTTTCAAAGCATATATAAACATTCAAAGCCCGCTCGGTGTATTTGTAAGCCAACTACTGCTGGGTGCAGTGTTGAAAGAACTTTCACGTGGAAATCAAAGGGAACCATCTGTGCGTGTGCCACTCCCCAGCCTGGCCACAGCCCCAGCGAGCGAACTCGCACGCTATTGTGTTTGCCGTCCACAGCCGGCAGTGCCTGGGCAGCCACGAACACATCCATCTGTGCCGCAAGTTCGACACGGACATCCGCCTGCAGCTGCTGCACGTCTCGGCCATGCGGCACGACCTCGCACGCACGGTCAGGCCCTCCTTGTTACATCCTGCATCCCCGTGTTGCCTCATGGGGCCACATTAAGCACCGCCGTGTGGTAAAATAATAAAGTAATGCGACGCAAGTTGGTTCAATACAACATCCTCCAAAGACTTGTCCCCACCGACCTCTCTGCCCTCTCATTTCACTCTTCTCCTCTCCCAGCACTCTTCCCCCCCCCCCCCTTCCTGCCAGCAACCAAGGCTTTTTGTCGAAGCTCCGCAGCCAACCATTGCTTTATTGTATCTATGTGTGTACGTTGAACTTCCTTCGCACCATACATAGCCAACTGTGCTAATCAGAGGTGCCGGAGGGTGTGAATTCTCTCCTCTTTTCCTCATATCTGGAACTCTCTTCCCTTAGTCATCAGTGCCATTGTCTGCCGGACCCCATTCAAGTCCAAGCTCTCAAGACCTTTATTTTAAGAGCACTCGAGAGCGGGAGCACTCTTGTGACCTACTCGATGTAGTTCCATTCCTTGCTTTTGAATACATTGTCACTGCACTAATGTCATTAAGTGCCCCTGACTATAATGTCAACTGTTTAATGAAAGTACCGAAATGTAATAATAGGGTTTTTTCCCCTTTTTTGGCAACAACACTGAAACCTTTTTACAAGGATTCATGTCTGCATTAACCACAATACCTGCAGTCAAAATGCAAATAAAAAAAACATACTATGATAATATATGCATTGTCCTTGAAACTGATTGGTCCACACCAAGGGACGGCTTTATTTTGAGCCTCGACCCAATTGGTGCTCGACCAGATGACGCCAAAAGGCGTCACACAGCTCAAAGACAATGTACTATCAAAGTAATGAGGGCTCGGGGTGAGCATCTACATCATTAGACCTCCTTTGCCAGTACCAAAATGTAATAATAATAGGGTTTTTTCCCTTTTTTCTGGCAACACAACTGTTTGCATTTTGACTGCAGGTATTGTGGTTAATGCAGTAAACATGAATCCTCGTAAAAAGGTTTCAGTGTTGTTGCCAAAAAAAGGGGAAAAACCCTATTATTACATTTTGGTACTTGCAATGGAGGTCTAATGATGAAAGTACTGAAGTTTATTACTTGTGTGCGACTGTACAGGGCAAACAGCCGAGCTATATACGATAGGTTTTTAATAACACGTTTGTTTTTGGGATTGTAGCTTCCTGATAAAACTAGTACGGGGCAGTCCTCATCTCTGTTTACAGCTCTGAGTCGTTGTGGAAATCCCCCTTTTCTCATGGTGCGCACTGCCCTTTCTTTATGACAAGCATTTGCCGTACCGTGGCAGTCACGTAACCGGTGTAAGCACAACAGCAAATGAGCTAACTTGACGCGCAACCCAGATTTGAACCCGTAACCTTCCACATGCGAGCCAAGTGCTCTGCCGCAGTATCACCAGACCGGAATGTTTTTATTTGGTGGCAATAAAACATTACGCATTGTATGTGGGTGAGTGAGCACTGCATTGTTTCGGAGTAAAAAAAAAAACGATGAAGCAAGCTTCGGTTAATATAAGTTGCTTATGTTTCTTGAGCTCAATATTTTCTTTAACGTCCTCTGCTTTGTTAGCTCAACCACGTGGCACAAAAGGGTTATTTTGCAAAGACGTGGAATTTTTCTGGGATGGTGGCGATAAGTAAACTGTAAGAACCTCAAAATATGACAAGAAGCACTGTCTGTAGACGTACTGTGTGGTTAAAATATCTTGGGAGATCTTTGTATGTTTTTGCAATGGTAATTGTAATGGCCATTTCTCAAGACAAAAAAAATGCATTTGCTTCAAGTTGTCATTGAGACACGTTTAAAAAGTTGACTCGCATGGCAGTCACTTTAACACGTAGACTTTCACGACCACCCTTCTGCGCTCTTGCACAATGTGGGGGTGGGTGGATTACTGTCAGCAGTAGCAGAACACGCATGCCAACAAGGAAACTCAATTGATTTTGATAATGTTTAAGTTTTGTGGAAAAAACTAGCTACCACTGGCCAAGACTAATTAGAGAATCTTATCAAAATTGAAAGAAATCTAAATACAGTAAAACCTTGGATTGCGAGTAACTTGGTCTGCGAGTGTTTTGCAAGACGAGCACATTTTAAATAAATTTTAACTTGATAAACGAGCGAGGTCTTGCAATACGAGTAGTACGTACACGTTTTGTCTGCCGAGCGTCACGTGATCACAACTGAGCCGATGGTTCTTCTCTCTCTCGCTGCGGGATTGTGGGTTATCGTCTCCCATGTTCGGTCTCAGTCGGCGTGCCTCACTCGTATCGTCAACATCCGTGCGAGTGTATACTGTTTACTATAGTGTTGTGACCACGTGTGTGTGTGTAAAGCGTTTTTTTTATTTTGTGTCCAAGTGTAGTAACTGTTTAGTAACTGTACTGCAACAATGGCCCCCATGAAATTCTCAAAAGGAGGCAAAAGCAAGTGTCACTGGATAGGTTCCTTGTTAAAGTGGCACAAAAAGAAAAAGATTCCAGTGAGCCAACAGATAGCAGTGATTCCGTTAGTGACAGTGAAAGTCGTCTGACACAATAAACCTCCTCCTCAACTCCTCTCTCTCGCGTCTCCCTCACACCAGCCACGATTAAATTTAATTAATAAATTTGATTGCTTTCTATTAAATTGAAATCATAAAAATATAAAAAGGTATTTTGTATTAATAATTTTTATATTAATATTTTTGAGTTGTGGAACGAATCATCTGAGTTTCCATGATTTCTTATGGGAAAATTCGCTTTGATATACGAGTGCTTTGGATTCCAAACACGTTTCTGGAACGAATTATGCTCGCAATCCAAGGTTTTACTGTAACTTTAACCGTTCGGCTAGCTACCGTCTTAGTGCTGCGTGGCAGCGAATCATCAAACAATATATTTTTGAAATGCATGCCTACAAATGCAGCGTACTTCAATAGGGATTACTGTTGGTAGAGCTATTTTAATAAACACCATAGACAGCAAGGACAAGTTCAAAGGGCTCGCATAATGCACATGCATAATGGACGTTGCCTCAGTAATACCCCCCCCCCCCACATTGTGCAAGAGTGCAGAAGGGTGGTCAACACATCTACGAAACAGTAAGACTACTCTACAAATCTGGCTGTCGCCTGATGAAGCTAGTTGTAATTACTGGCGAAACGTTGTACTCGGTTTGTAAATGTTGTGGCTTGGCTCTCCAAAACACCGGTGTGCTATACTAGTGATGAATTGGCACGTTCTGTTTACGTGACAACCCTTACTAGTTGGCTGTGTCGGGTGGTGGCGGGTTTTAACGTTTATATATTTACTCGATCTAACCCAAAAACGTAAATTATGGATCACATAGCAGTGTCTGCACCAGGTTGATCCGTTGATGTGATTTAGTTCATGCAAACTAAAATTGCGCCCATGATTATTTGTCCTCGGGGGTTTCGCGTGCTCGTGTCGTGGATTTACCGTCGCAGAGCGAAGATGATGCTGATCCAACAGACTTACAGCAGCACCTGCATCTCTACAGCCACCCTCTGAAGCACACTGTCTCCAGGTTGGTGCTGCTACTTTCTTTGTTGGCCCCCATTTACTATTTTAAAGTATTTAAACTAAATCATAAACAGGTTTATTTTATTTACCAGGTAAGGCCCACTGAGCTACGTAGCTCTTTTTCAGAAACTACCTGGCCACAAGTGATAGCCCAACGAAGTGGTTTATCATGTGGACGTTAATTGCAGCCAAATACTCTAAACGTATGTTTATAAATGTGGAGGGAAAAAAAACCGGAGGAGCCGGAGAAAAATACCACGCAACCAAACTTAAAATATACAGGAGGCGTCAGGGTCGGGATCGAACTCTCTACCTCCTGCACACCAGGTGAGGTAGTTAACATCTCGCCACGGAGATGTTGTGAAACTGTGTGCATGTTTTATTGTACCCAATGTTAGCAAAGAGAAACATACAGACGAGCCTTATGCTTAGTTGTTTGTCGAAATAATATTAAAGATAATAAACATAATAATTCAACAAGTCGGTGCTTTCCTTAAAATATGAACAAGTAGTGTGAATGTTCGTTATTATATATAGAAAAACGTTTTTAAATAAAAATAAAAAGTACATGCAGATCGGCATTTCTAACTTGCAGAGTGCATGCAGCTGGCAATCAAGGTCCAGACCTTTTTTTCTCTGAATTTCTGGCTGCCTTTCCAAACTATTTAATACTCATCTTCACAGCCATCGTTGATGTTAAAACTATTGTTTTTATCTTTGTACTCGTGTTGTTGAAGGAAAGGGCTATCACAGCTGATGGATGCGTACCACAATGAACTGGACATTTTTTTGCAAACCAAGGTTTGTTAAAATTTTTGGTCATTTTTCGCAAATAAAAACAACTGTCTGCAATGTGTAACTAGGTGTCCAAAGTGTGCGTCCGCTTGGTTGAGTTTGTCAGCACTGTATGAAATGTCTGCAAAAGAACGGGGCATGCAAAACTGCCCAGACTCATGACAACATTCTCCCCAATCAGAGTAAAAGCTAAAGGTGCAGCACTGCAATTTCTTTGCCCAGCCTATTTCTGGCGGAAGAGCCTCCATGAAGAGGGAGCTCTCTCTCGAGAGGGCATTTTTGGCCCCACCCCTTGCAAAACCGATCAGATGTTTTGGAAGAGCTAGAGGTATCCACGCTTTACTGCACCGGACGTGACCTGCTGCCTGACGAACTGTGCCTGCAGTCGAATGCATTTGTACTGCTGAGTGGACAGACGCGCAGAGGGAAAGGGTGGGGGGATTTAAGAAATTGTATTCTTTGTTTCAACTTCCTCGCTGAGTGATTAAATTGAACCGGCGACCTCTAGATTGCAAGTCCAGTGTGCTCACTATTATGCTACGGAAGCACCGCTCCGTGCAAAGTATCTTGCTTTGAACTGATTTGAGAGAGTGTCATGGTACCCTAGAGCCTGGAAAGCATACCCCCCCCCCCCCCATAAAATATAATTCCCGCTGCTGAATATTTACTCTCTCCGAGTTCTCTTTGCGATGGGGGTTGCTCAACCCGTCTTGTTGTTTAGCACAAACGTGGCGATAAATGTCACGTAGGTGTCGCTTCTCACGCTGTAACAGTTAATTTCTGGTTGCAGGTTTACATTCAAATGGTCGTTGAGTTGTTGACTTTTTATTTATGCACCTGAATGAAACTGTTTACACATATACATGTTTACACATATATACATGTGTAAACATGTATACATATCTGTGATAGTTCTGGCTTACCTGTTACTTAATCGCTCTCTTTCATGCTGGCATCAGCCCGAAAACACAACCTGGGCACAGCAATAATAATAATAAGAATAGCAAATTACAGTCCGTTATCAATCTGTCACTGCTTTGAAGGCCATGGCCCGTCTTGGGGGTTGTTTGACCTTTCTTAACCACACTGGCCCATGCTTGCATACTTTCAGTGGGAGCAGCACCGTGGGATGGAAAGGGTGGCGCATGCCACGAAGGCCGTGTGCAGCGCGCTGTCTCACATCGAGACACCGGACGTCACGGAGGCCGTGCAGGCGCTTCGGCATGCAGCCAACCGCCCACGCCATACGACTATAGAGGTCTGTCCCCTCAACTATGTCCACTTTTGCCATCTGTCTCTTACCCTTACATCCATACAAGGCATGTAATTATTTTCCCCTCCACAGTTCGAGAATTATCATGATTCAGGCTGATGATTCACTTCATGAATTGCTTTTTATTTTATTTTACACACAGCTTGATTGTGTGTGTGTGTTTTTTAAGATGTTATTTACGTGCATGCCCCACATGTGGTACATTCTGTCCGGCGTTACAGGTCGTACCCATCAGTTGGTTCTTATTTTGAACTTGCGGTGCTTGTGTTATGTATTTTCGTGTTCATATATGCTTATGCACACGTATATGTTTACACATATATGAATTGGAAATGAACCAGGATTTTGCGCGCGCAGTTCAATGTATTTGTCGTGAGCGTAAGAGTCGAGGTTAATTAATTAGTGGATCGTCGCATCCCCCGAGTGTTTACACTCACCACCGTCTCGGCTAATGCTCCCAGTTCTACCTCTTAAGATAGAACGATCTACTTTTGTCTACACTTCCATGTATCACCATCCACACTGTCTTTTCACTTGGAGCAGAGACCTGGCCTGTGTTAGCAGCATGTTTTTACGTCTGGGTTTTTGCTGTGCTCGTGAGTCTTGACTTCCTGCTGAGTTCACGTTGCCATCGTGCAGCGTGCATGATGCCCTGGAATAGTTTTCCATTCACATGGGCAGGTCAAAATACATTTTTTGAGAAGTAAAAAGATCCTACCCGGATTAGATTTGATGGAGCCTGTTTGGAATGCATGGTTTTGATTGCTGTTGCAATTGATTTGAATGCACGTAAAAGAGTGACAAAGATTGGCTTCTGCCACTAGTTCTAACTACCTGATCCCCTTGTTGTATTGCATGGTTAAACGTGAGCACTTAAACATTTAACAAACATATAGAGTGGATTGCAAACTGAAAATATATTTCTGTGTCCTGCATGTCAGTTAATATACATTATCTTTATTTTTGCATTAAAATATATACTCTGATAACTCATTGTGACTGTACAATACAAATATGCTTATCTTTTGTTCCGTGAAATGTAATTACATGTACGTAAACGCACTTATTGAATGAATTATACATTTTGCTGTGTGGCTTGGAGCAATATTTACTTATAATGGCACAGAGATTAGTTCTCTTTGGCTGAAACCTTACATAACCATGCACTCTTACTCAAACATTCTCATTCCAACCAACCTTCTACTGCCTGCATGTAACAATAATTTGCCAGATTAACAAGGGAATTCAATTATTTTAACTGGATTCCGATGAGAGTCTTATAGTACATAGTGGAAGAGCAGACTTTGGAGGGTGGGTGTTGAGTGCACAACAATGACACAATCTGGCAGAAAGAAAGTGATGGTTAGGTGTGGTGACCCAAAGATTGGTCATGATGACCATAACCCTTCATTAATTGACAAATCAATTAACATCGGCACACCAAATCAGAGTGGCCAACGAATCATTCGGCGAGCACCACCAGATACTGGCGAACGCGTTCCTTTTGGTATTTACAGTGGAATTCCTAACTTGGCCACGTGTTTTTATATTTTATTTTTGATTTGGAGGGCCGGAAAGTACATGTTACGGGACAATATGTCATTCTTACAGTGCAGGAAGCCGTGTGGAAGCACCGCACTACTTGACAGCTGTGAAAAAGAGCTTTATAGCTCATCGGATTCCTCCAGTATAAATAAATGTTCTGATTCTGCATTCCTCCGGCACGCTCGTGTACACACGTCGACGGGTACGCACTATGCCCTCCCTTTGAGCGTGTGTGCGCCGCCCGGTGCTGCAACGACGTTGTTTTGGCCGTGCGTGTGCCTGCAGGCCACGGGGGCGACAGCAAGCGAGAGGCTCTCAGTGGAGAACAAGCGCTCGCACACGCTGCCGGGAAGGCAAGATGCGAGTAAGGAACTCAGGAATGCAGCCCTGGAACGAGCCCAGCTCGCACACGTGCACATGCACACACGCGCACAAAGACAAAGATCCCTCGTATAGCCTTGCCAGACTGTTGGGGCAAGTGCCGTTAGCGAGCACTGATGAAGGCCGGCACGGTATGCACGGAGGTGGGTGGCCAGCACCACGCCCGACTGCGTTTGTCTCCCCAGTGGCGATGTTTACACACTGTACCAGGTACTCATTTGAGGCTGAGTCGACCTAGGGGAGGTCTAGGACCGGTTCAGATACGCGTCACCGATGTTGGCCGTGAGCGCACATCGAACTCGGGTCGCAGAGTTTGTAGCAAAAGCTCGTTAGCTGCTGCACTCCCGCTCCACGCACTCCCGCTCCACGCACGCACGCACGCGCGCGCAAGTTTCCGCGCCGCCGAACATTTGCTTCCAGTTATCGCTGGCCGTGTTTTTCCGCAAGAAGTCGAGCCGACGTTAGATGCCACAGTGTGCGAAAGCGCGGAAGCAAGTGCTGGCATCGTTTTAGTTGCTGATATTATCGTGGTCGTTACATTGCTTGCCCGTTATCTTTATTTTTCCCTAACAAAGACCTACCATTTACCGATTTAGTCTTTAACATTTTTGAGCGTAGCTTCAACTAAGTGAATATATTTTTCACATGCTAATTATTGGGTTTTAAGAACAAACACCTAATTGATGTAAATATTACATAGTTGCTTGCGAAAAATGTGCTACAGTACACTATATGGAAGACCATCTGGCACCTTATGGAAAAGTACTTCTCCCGCTTCTTATTGAGGCACATGACATATGCTCAATGGTAATCGCAGACAATTCTCTTGAGTAATAACAACCCATCCACTTGTTTTGCATCTATATTGTTGATATATGTCATTCTGAGACATTAACTCTTAATCCAGCTTAACCTGATGAGCTGCTCATTATAGCGTTGGCTAATCAACTCGTGTCAAGCTGCGACTGTAATGCTTTAACCATGTGGCGCATAAATACACCATGACCAATTCAAGTAATCTATTCCAATTCATTGACCTTCTTCTAGTGCATGTTTTAAAGCATCTGTTTGACATGTTGCAGGCTTTGTAACTATGGTAGTAATTAATTTGATATAAACAATTAATTAAACATACTTTTTTTGTTATAAGCAATTGACAACAATATGTTGTTGATTCATAATAAGAACAAAATAAAGCCTTTATCGATGAACACCTAAGTGTAGATAGCTGAGCAACCTACTTGATGTACTGACAATCTACTGGCCCACCCATTAACCCTGCTGGTTTGGAGTATCACAAGTGATACCTTTTTGCATGATTCTCCAACCTGCCTCCAAAGCGCCGCATCACCGAATCTTTGCTCCTACTGGTGGAATCCGATGAGCTATAAAGCTCTTTTTCAGTGGACTAGCAGACTTTGGAGGGTGTGCGCGCTGGCCGACTCCGGGGGCCACGCTCAACCCGCGTGGCTTGCTGCTTCCCCAGGGCGTGCAGGCAGCAGCGGGGAGGTGGAGGCGAAGGCGGAGCGGCTGACGGCGGCACTCTACGAGCTCGTGGAGCTCTACTGCGCCGCCTTCGATGCCGACTTCCTGCCCGGCGCCACGGAGGGGGTCGTGGCGCGTGACGCCGCCGTGCGGGAGGCCCCCGGAGTCGCCGACACGCTGCGCTTCACGCTGCACGCCGCGCACCACGTGCCGGCCGGCTGGATCACCAGGTAGGCTGGATCAACAGGTAGGCTGGATCAACAGGTAGGGTGGATCAACAGGTAGGGTGGATCAACAGGTAGGGTGGATCAACAGGTAGGGTGGATCACCAGGTAGGGTGGATCACCAGGTAGGGTGGATCAACAGGCCGGCTGGATCACCAGGTAGGCTGGATCACCAGGTAGGCTGGATCAACAGGTCGGCTGGATCACCAGGTAGGCTGGATCAACAGGTAGGGTGGATCAACAGGTCGGCTGGATCACCAGGTAGGCTGGATCAACAGGTAGGGTGGATCAACAGGTAGGCTGGATCAACAGGTAGGCTGGATCAACAGGTAGGGTGGATCAACAGGTAGGGTGGATCAACAGGTAGGGTGGATCAACAGGTAGGGTGGATCACCAGGTAGGGTGGATCACCAGGTAGGGTGGATCAACAGGCCGGCTGGATCACCAGGTAGGCTGGATCACCAGGTAGGCTGGATCAACAGGTCGGCTGGATCACCAGGTAGGCTGGATCAACAGGTAGGGTGGATCAACAGGTCGGCTGGATCACCAGGTAGGCTGGATCAACAGGTAGGGTGGATCAACAGGTAGGCTGGATCAACAGGTAGGCTGGATCAACAGGTAGGGTGGATCACCAGGTAGGGTGGATCACCAGGTAGGCTGGATCAACAGGTCGGCTGGATCACCAGGTAGGCTGGATCAACAGGTAGGCTGGATCACCAGGTAGGCTGGATCACCAGGTCGGCTGGATCACCAGGTAGGCTGGATCAACAGGTCGGCTGGATCACCAGGTAGGCTGGATCACCAGGTAGGCTGGATCACCAGGTAGGCTGGATCACCAGGTAGGCTGGATCAACAGGTAGGCTGGATCACCAGGTAGGCTGGATCACCAGGTCGGCTGGATCACCAGGTAGGCTGGATCAACAGGTCGGCTGGATCACCAGGTAGGCTGGATCAACAGGTAGGCTGGATCACCAGGTAGGCTGGATCAACAGGTAGGCTGGATCACCAGGTAGGCTGGATCACCAGGTAGGCTGGATCACCAGGTAGGCTGGATCACCAGGTAGGCTGGATCACCAGGTAGGGTGGATCAACTGGCCGGCCGGATCACCAGGTAGGCTGGATCACCAGGTCGGCTGGATCAACAGGTAGGCTGGATCAACAGGTCGGCTGGATCAACAGGTAGGCTGGATCACCAGGTAGGCTGGATCACCAGGTAGGTTGGATCACCAGGTAGGCTGGATCACCAGGTCGGCTGGATCACCAGGTAGGCTGGATCAACAGGTCGGCTGGATCACCAGGTCGGCTGGATCAACAGGTCGGCTGGATCACCAGGTAGGCTGGATCACCAGGTAGGCTGGATCAACAGGTCGGCTGGATCAACAGGTCGGCTGGATCACCAGGTAGGCTGGATCAACAGGCCGGCTGGATCACCAGGTAGGCTGGATCACCAGGTAGGCTGGATCACCAGGTAGGCTGGATCAACAGGTCGGCTGGATCACCAGGTAGGCTGGATCACCAGGTAGGCTGGATCACCAGGTAGGCTGGATCAACAGGTAGGCTGGATCACCAGGTAGGGTGGATCAACTGGCCGGCCGGATCACCAGGTAGGCTGGATCACCAGGTCGGCTGGATCAACAGGTAGGCTGGATCAACAGGTCGGCTGGATCAACAGGTAGGCTGGATCACCAGGTAGGCTGGATCACCAGGTAGGTTGGATCACCAGGTAGGCTGGATCACCAGGTCGGCTGGATCACCAGGTAGGCTGGATCAACAGGTCGGCTGGATCACCAGGTAGGGTGGATCAACAGGTCGGCTGGATCACCAGGTAGGCTGGATCAACAGGTCGGCTGGATCAACAGGTCGGCTGGATCACCAGGTAGGCTGGATCAACAGGCCGGCTGGATCACCAGGTAGGCTGGATCACTAGGTAGGCTGGATCACCAGGTAGGCTGGATCACCAGGTAGGCTGGATCAACAGGTCGGCTGGATCACCAGGTAGGCTGGATCAACAGGTAGGCTGGATCAACAGGCCGGCTGGATCACCAGGTAGGCTGGATCAACAGGTAGGCTGGATCACCAGGTAGGCTGGATCAACAGGCCGGCTGGATCACCAGGTAGGCTGGATCAACAGGTCGGCTGGATCACCAGGTAGGCTGGATCAACAGGTCGGCTGGATCACCAGGTAGGCTGGATCAACAGGTAGGCTGGATCAACAGGCCGGCTGGATCACCAGGTAGGCTGGATCAACAGGTAGGCTGGATCACCAGGTAGGCTGGATCAACAGGTCGGCTGGATCACCAGGTAGGCTGGATCACCAGGTCGGCTGGATCACCAGGTCGGCTGGATCACCAGGTAGGCTGGATCACCAGGTAGGCTGGATCACCAGGTAGGCTGGATCACCAGGTAGGCTGGATCACCAGGTAGGCTGGATCAACAGGCCGGCTGGATCACCAGGTAGGCAGCCCGACTACACAGGCGGCGGTCGTTTTGATAAAGGCAGAGCGCTAACGCGTGGAGTTAAGTGGCACTCCAGTGACGTCACCGCATTTATGTATCAGAGTGAACGTTGCAGTGATGTCACCCGAGTGATATGATGCTTTTCTGGGGCATAATCTTAAAGTCCGACTGCATAGTTTGTCATGCTCTCCAGCACTCCGATGTGTTTCCGGAGATGCGCCCAGTACGGCGTGATTTCCGTTTCGGGTTGAGTGAAATGTCAGACTTCGTGCCGAACCGCACAATTTGTGTTTTTTGTCTTTAGTTTGTTGTCCTTCCCCGCACCTCCGATTAGCACAGTTGGCTATGTACGGTGCGAAAGAAGTTCAACATACATACGATACAACCAGAAAACACGTTGCAGAGCTAATCATTTTAAAGTCTTTTTTATCCTACTCTCAGGAAGTTTTAACTTTCACTCGAGGAGCCTGGGACATACCAGCCTAGCGTTGTAAAGACAGCATTAAAGCCGTTTTGTTTTTGTATTGCGTCTACCTCTGAGCAAGACAATGAAAATGCATTGCTTGTCCACCCAGCCGGGTACCACTGTGGTCTGAGGGCTTAACTCGGTCATCTCGGCATATCAGTGATTCCTCCACGGCTGATTAAGTCAATTTCACCTTATAGGAATTAAACCTCTGCCGTCACTTGGAGACAGCAGCAGCACCCATTGTAGGAATGTGCATTTTCTACTTGTGGCTCATAGCCCATGAGACCTTTTGCTGAGTCTCTGCAATATTTAAGAACGGTCTTGTATATTTTGGGCAATTCCTTTGAGTATTTTTTATATGTGGAAGCACCTGGAGAGAACTCGTGCGTGCACATGTGGCATTACTCATGAAAACGCCACGCATGAAACGGCAGCCTACTTGCTGTACTGCCTTCCGTAGGCTATGTAAAAGACGTGCAGGCGGTTCTCGTGCATATATCGATATTTGTGAGATTCCGCAACCCTGTCTTCAAACCGCCAGGTTGTATGTGTTTGTAAGTATGCCTGGCTGTTGAAATTCCTTTTAGACTCGTAGAAATATATTTGGGCTTCAACGTGATGTTTGGCATTTATATTCTGTATGTGATGTATATGCTTTACTCATACAAATGTGACAGCGGTATTTTATAAACATATATATCCTTTATTGCTTTCTTTTTGAAGTGCATTTTAATATAACTCTTGTCGCATATCAGCACAATATGTGTATATGAATAATATAGGGCAGTGGGAAGAGTTTACATGAAGCCTTACAGAAGAATTGGCATGCAGTCTTTTTTGTAATCTCCTTCTGAAAATATTTCAACCACCATATCCCCCCCCCCCCACATATTGGTAACATATGGGGCTCTGCTAGAAAGAAGGGGGGACATCTGCTGGCAATGCCATTACTGCGTTGTACAGAGCTGGTGTTTGTCTTAACATGTTAGTGTGTATACAGAGGTGGTTGGATGTATTTGTGGTCAATCCGCTGGGCAGAGCAGAGCGAACAGCTCCTGGGTTTGAATCCAGCAAGCTGCGTTAATTAAAGCAGACTCTCAAGTTTAGTGAGTTGATGGTCTCAATGACTCCACATCAAACTATTTTATTTGGATAAATTCTCTCTGGGAATTTTCAATACTCTGTGATAAATCGTTTCTGCTTTCAGTGGGGGGGGCACTCTGTGAGATTTCCAAATTGATTCTTCGTCCCGTAACACGACCCCGATTCACCCATCAACCAAAAAAGTGAAAAGTTGTGCAAATGCTACAGACGTGTAGAAAGCCATGGCGGTTTTTTTTCTCTGCAGCTATGAGAAGTACAACATCGTGTGCTCTCTGACGCATGGAGGCCGGCCGATCCTGCAGCCATACAAGTGTCAGTCGGGCCGCATGTACAAAAGCTTCTTCCACCAAATCCGCTGGAATGATCAGTGAGTCTGGTGTTATTATTTTTGACGCACGCACAGCACATCACTCGCTCGCCGCATGTTCCATGATGCCTGTGAATTAACAGTCAAAACGACAGCAGAGTAAACACATTTAACATATGAACAATCGACGTTTTGGAAAGCGACATATCAAATAAGCTATTGAGTATGCAAACAAATTATTTGGTGACGCTGTGTTGGCAGTGGTGCACAAACACAGTTAACAAGAAACTCAACACAGTCCTCAGCAACACTAGCCTTAAACGTAAAAAAACATTTTTAATAGGTAACGTTTCGGGCAACGGCCCTCCAGTGGCTTGTTTTCACACAATGCAATGTGCCAGCAAACATTTTATAATTTCACTTTCAATATAGATGAATTTATTTAGTCATACATTCATTCTTGAAGGATTTTTCTATTACCCCCATATCTTATTCTTGGTTTTTTCGGTAAAGTCACGTAGAAGGGAAATAAAAAAAATAAAAAAAATGTTTTATTTGTATTATTTTATTATTTCCCTTCTACGTGACTTTATTGAAAGAACCAAGAATATGAATCCCTGCAGTCACGTAAGCTTTAAATCGAAAGATACCCCATATCTACTACTAGGTAACTTTTCACGAACCTTTTTTTAATCTAGTCATCAAAAAACATCTTTAAAATGAAATTTTCATAAAGCTGCATGTTATTAAGTGCGGTCTCCAATCCTTACTAACTAACTCTGCCACGAAGAAAGGCCATTGCCCAAAACCTCACCTGGACTTTTTATTTTCAGGCTCTGTTGTTGATGAATGTGAATGTTTTCTTTTTTGGTATGTAAAAGTAGTCTTATGCATGTCCAAGCAATTAATTGAGCTGTCATTCAAAAACTGATTGGGAAAAGGTGGCTGGGTGGCTCCCCGCTGGGTTTGTGGGTGCGAATCCAGGAAGCCGCCTGTAATTATACCATGTTTTCACGTTTATTGAGCTGGGGGTCTCAGCCCAGTCACAGGTCACTTGAAGGCATCTCAGAGGTAGCTCTGTGGTATTTATCTTATTGGTTCTTTCGGTAAAGTCACGTAATATTATGTTTTATTTTATTTCCATTCTACGTGACTTTACCGAAAGAACCAAGAAGATGAATCCCTGCAGTCACGAAAGCTTTAAATCTGTGGTATTTGTTTCTGTGGGCCGGTCACTCGCACGGAGGGTCACGCTGCTCTGTGAGGGATCTGAATACACACGTTGCCATATTACACGATACCAATAGCACAGTCGGGATAGATTTGGGGAAAATGACGAGAGAAAGAAACAAGAATAATAATAATTGGGAAGGAATCGTTTTTAAACTAGAAAGAAGACATTTTGTATGAAGAGCATCATAAAATAAGGAGCAATTTCCAAAATTGGTGTTTACTCATAACATAGTAATGCTAATTACTGATACATTACATCTAGCAAAAGGAACATCTGCAAAGAAAACATTGCCTGTAGTATTAGCATATGATGTAGTATGATGCATAACCATCAGGACCATCTATACGACATGTAAAATGCCATTACAGACTCACTGTAAAACCAGTTCGCATTGTGTGTGGAATGACGGGGTTTTGTAGCCAGTGGTGACCAAGCTGATGCCATCAACTTGCGACACGAGAGAATGTGGCCTAATCACAGGTGTGTGCCTGAATTCAATCCCAGGCTGTAAGCGGTGGTGTAGCTCAGCGCTCCTGCATGGCATTTGCCATCCCCGCCACCCGCACGCCTCTGCATGGGGGTATTTTTAAATTGTGCCATTGATCCGATTGCCACAGCTGTCCCAGGGATGTTGGAAGATGGCGCTGGCTTACATTGCATTGATGCAGATAGTGGAGTCGAAACTGAGTGCTCCTGTGACTCTGGCAATAATGCTGTCCCTCCAGTGATTCCATTGGACTTGCACAAAAGCTGCCAAAGAAAGCTGCTGTGGTTAGCAAGGGCAGAGTTTATTTCCATTGGCGACAGGTTGGCTTCCAAATGTGCATCGTGGGATGGAGTTGGGTGAAGAGAGCAATGCCCCAGGCTGCCTAAGGTCTGTTGTTCATTAATGTTAGATTAATTGCAGTTAATAACATGTCACTTTTGGCACGTGTGTTCCCAATTATGCCTGTATCGGACAAATACAAATATTTACCACAGTTTCTGAAAATTGTGTAAAATTACTTTGCGGACTGAAACAGAATAACAATTGTAATTATAATAACACGGTAATTCTAAGTACACAGATGAGGTGACTTCAATCCTAGCTGTGGCCAAGTGTCAATATTATTAGTGCTGCAGCACCAGTTTTTTGTGTGTGGGCAGGAAACCACACTGAACGCAAATGCTGCAGTGTCGACACGGGTTCGAACACGCAACAGACACCGAACACAATTTGACCGTGAAGTCTCTGATGTGTGTAATGATTCTCATGTGACGAGATACGACCTTGTAAGTGTGGCCTCTCGCGTGTCTTGCGGTAAAAAGTGCAGCTGTGCAAATATACGCTGGCTTTCACATCCCCAGTCCGCAGTGCCCTGCTGCGAGCTAATGAACTGCCCGCATTGGCGGCTGCGTGCGTGATTGTGTCCACGTGCCTGCATTCATGCTGTCTGCCCCCGTGAGACTGCGTAAATGCATGTTTTCCATCTGCACCTTTATGTAGTATCATATGAATATTTTTGCATACTTAACTGTGTGTGTGTGCAGGCACAATTGCTTGTATAGTCGTGTGTTTGTGTTAGCTTTCAGCCTAGCTTTGGTCTTGCACAAAATCTTGCTTGTAATAAAATGAGCACCTGACGTGGTCTTTGCCAATAACAACGACGGGGGAGATGCGAAGGCAGCTTGCATGGCGATGGCCTCATTGCCTGCTGGTGTGCCATTGTAACTTTTGTACCGTTCACTTGTGAGACTCATCCCCGCAGACGATAGACCACACTTTGTGTCTTCAAATATATAGCTTTGCTCTAAACGGCAATTAAATAAAGCAAGCTATTGTGTGAAATACTTGGCCGTAACTGGAGAAATGGTCAGCTGGAAACCCAATGGAAAACTTTGCCTTCAAGGAAGAAACGCATTAACCAAAATTAATTGACAAAACTGAAGTAGGCCATTCAGGAATGCGAATGATCAGTAGCAGCCAAACATAAGTCTGCTTTCTTGGTGCAATAAACTCTGGATTCTAAAACCGTTCGTTTTCTTGAAAAAAATATCTTCTAAGGAGAATCTTGCAAATTGCAAGCCAGGAAAACAGCATGGAAGTATTAAGTTCAATATACTTAGTTTCTCACAATGCTCTTCAAAATAAATAGATATTAGGTAATATACAGTAACATCTGTTGTTTATATGTCAAGTAAAACCCATTCAAAACAACTTTCATCAGATTCATATTCTTGGTTCTTTCAGTAAAGTCATGGAGAAGAGAAACAATAAAATAATAAAAAATATTTTTTATTGTAATTATGAATCGCTGCAGTCATGAAAGCTTTAAGTCAAAATTTCATCAGATTGTTTAAGAAAACATCTTGACTTAAAATTAAGTGTGATCTCCAAATATATGTTCCTCAGTTTCAATGCTACTCTCCATAAAGAATAAATGCCATTGCATTTATTTTGAAAAGTAATTTCTTTAGAACTGCTTTTTGTGTTTAGTTTATCCTTCACCAGCAACCTCTGATTGTCACGGTTGGCTACATATGGTGCGAAAGAAGTTCTACATACATATATTGCACACACTTGTCGACCCTATTGTATATATTACATTGTAAGACTCTGCTAATAACAAATGTAGTCCATTGCCCCGGTCCCTTATTTTGTTTTAAATCGTACTGTTGTGATGTGCGCGCGTGCGTGCGTGTTCACTACGGCGGACGCGCAGGGTGAACTTGCCAGTGCAGGTGTCGCAGCTGCCGCGCGAGACGGTGCTCAGGGTGTCCCTGCAGGGTGTCCCACAGCCGTCCGCCTCCGGGGGCTCCCCCGACAGCAGCAAGCAGCGTCGCAGCCCCGAGCCGCTGGGCTGGGCCACCATGCCGCTCTTCAACTTCAGGCAGTGCGTGTCGCGCCGGCAATTCCCCGTGGATCGTCGCGGCTTGATGCATCGTCATCATCATCGTCGCTGCCGCAGGCTTGCGGACGCCGTGCTGCGCTTTGCGGCAGCAAAGCAATATCGTCACAACTCTGGAGAACATTAATATTCCACGATGTGGCTTCATTACCATTGCCGTGCAGTGTTACAGACTCGACGCCACTAGCCCCAGAGTATTCGTATTACGGTGAAAGTTTGTACATTTTCACGAGACTGCTGTCCATTAGTCAATACTAAGCAAGTTGTAGGCCTGGTCACAAATTCGTTGAGCTTTCCACATTACCATAGAGGTGCTGTCATACACCTTTGATTTATGGTTGATGTTCGTGTCATATTTGCGCATAGAGCTCTTTACTACTTCCTGTGGTGCGTACATGTATGTTGTAGTGTGCTTATGAATGTAAAAGTGCTTACCAGCTCATGCACATTCCTCTAGACAATGCATTTCTTACCTCTGGCCACTGCTATTTCCAAGAAATTCCGAAAAAACTTTGGAATGGCTTTGTTGAATGTAAGAATGTGGCGTGTGTGTGTGTTGTCCATGTGGGAAGTCTTGGTATAGTGGTTCTCGCACTGCACTGCAATCGAGTTGAGACCTGGGTTAGTTTCCTGATCATAGTTTCCTCCAGGAGCAGTTCGTATCCGAGTCTGGGCTGGGTATCCCCTGGGTCAAGTCAGTCTACAATTAGAGTCTTGATTCTGCTTGAGTAGTGCAGTGAATATAAATTCTGACTAAAACCTCAAGGTATTCATCATTTAGTTGTGCTTGTAAGCAATTTGTTTCCTATAAATGACAACAAAATGTATTAACACCATCACTTTACATGCTATTCCGACCTTTATCGGTGCTAGTTAATAGCACTTTTCCCCAATGGTGTTATGCGTCTCATTCATCAGTATGTACGTATGTTTAACTTCTTTCGCGCCATACGTAGCCAACCATGCTAATCGGTGTTGCATTTGTGCGTATGCAAATTCATAGTTCTTAGAATAACCTCCAGAATTTGTAGTTTTTTTTGTATAAATATCTATAAACAATTTAATAATACAGAGTGATGCACGTAAACCGCTCCCTTCTAAAACGCTGTGTCCATGGCTATTGTGTAGAGTATTGACCAGCGGAACGCAGCTGCTGTGCCTGGGGCCACCAAGTCAGGCGAGCTACGCAGCCAGCTGCAGCGCTGCCCACCTGCTGCAGCCGGACAGCGTCATCCTCCAGGTATCCAGAGAGAGAGAGAAAGAAAGAAAGTGATGAGCTAAAGCAATGAGATAAATTGCTGATACGCAGCATCATCATTTAAAGATACATTCATTTATAAACTATTATTTAATACTTTAATATTTATTTAATGGTTGTTATTATTATCAGTTATTTGGTGTTGTGATAATTTGCATGTATTTTATGGCTTATTAATTTAAGCTAATTTATTCAAAAGATAGGTTTTTACGAGTCCACCATAATTATCCGTGAACTATTGCTATTCACGAGCAACTCCGGAACGTATCCCTCGCGAACAATGAGGGAATACTGTACAGAGCTGATAGAAAACTTAAAATGTAAAGCAGGTGTGTGATGTTCACATTTCCGTGCAACGCATTACTCTCCCGCAGCTGGATTTCCCACCAACGAAGCTGGATATCATATTCCCTACTCCGATGGCAAGGGGGTTGTGGCTGCAGTACAACTTCGAGGACATGGACCCCGACACAAGAAAGAGCCTCCACACGATCATGTCCAAAGACTCGGTGCTGGGGTGGGTGGCACCAACCACAGCCTAAAAAAATAATGTGGATTTGCCCGACCCGCTATTTATGGAAGGAGCTGGTATTTGAATTACCGAGTACTTTTCCACTTTGCTCCATATTTAGGTTCACCGATATAACCGTAATTGCTTCAGGATGCGTGAAGGCATGTGAACGAAAATACGTCCGATATATATTTATAGATATTTGGACGTGCATTCCGAATATTCTTACCTTGCTCGTTTGCGGGACTGTAAGTCTGCAATGGCAAACATTCCAAAATTGCTTTACACTTCATTTATGTGAGTTTTTCATTGACATTTTAAAATATCAATGAGAGACAATGAACCAGGTACTTTCGTGGATAATAGAATTTAGCAACTGCAATGAAAATACCCCTGTTCCTGGATGCACTCTGAAAATAGTCTAACTTGGCAGTCTAATTTGGACCTTTATAAATCCACATAGAAAAGCTAAGGATGCAGCCTTGTAATTACTTATGCCACCGCGGGTGTAAGCGCGCCACGCTTCGAGGGCGTTCTAGAGAGGTTCTCATGAAATTGTTGGCCTACTCTTCCCACACTTTACACCACCGTGAGTAAACGGCCAGTTGACTAACTGGCGGTTTACCCATTTATACTGCTGCGTGGATAGGAGCGTGGGGGGGTCATTGGGATTTAATAAACTTGTCCCATTGCTTTCAACTAGTGCTCCATGAGATTGGATCTGCGACCTCTGGATTGCAATTCCAGTGTGCTCACCATTACGCTGGGGCAGCATCCCTTTAAGCATACTTAGCATTTCTTGAGAGTTTATCGGCGTTTATAATTGGCAGATGACGCTTCATTGCCATTTTGGATGTTGGTTCCCCAAGGACGTTTAGGTCAGCTGTTGATAAACTTTGTTCCTCGAACTCATTATCTCACCTGATCCTCCACCCTCTGCCAAGATATTTTATTACCTGGTTAGTCATCCTTAACATTAAGGTGTACATTATAGCGTGCTCATTAATAGGCATATAATGTTTCCACCCCTCGTAAATTTGCGAGCTGTCACGATGTGAGGTAGTGTTTGACTTGAGAAATCGATTCTCGTGTTTCCTTTGCTAATTTAGAGCCTCTAGTGGCTGCATCATTTACGTGAACTAATTTCAAAGTGCATCTGACAACTGACAGTAATCGAGTCTTATACAGGAAATTCAGTAACGTATGTCATGAGCTCAATAATCATATTTGATAAATTAATATGTGCCTACATATTGCACACATCTGTTAATCAGTACGCAGGAGAGGTTGTAGCGGGTTGCGGTTTCCTAAACGGGTGTTTGTGAATCGTTGTTCTCAACTGCCAAATACGTATTTCACAATCAGAATCTTTGTTTGGACTTGAGGAATCTGATGAGCTATGAAGCTCTTTTTCACAGATGTCTATTTGAGGTGGGTCAGCAAGTTACAATAGCAAACAATACAACAACACGCTGGGAGTGCAAAATATAGAAAAAGGGTAAGCACTTCACTAAGTATAAATACATTTATTGTGTAAGTCCGATTTACCAAGCTTGGGCAAGGCAGCAAAAACAACAACAAAAACAGCCCCATACCACACCAAGATAACACCACGCAGTAGTATCTCCATAAAATGCCACATGGACATTGAACTATCGGTACACAGGTGAGGATCGTGTGGCTGTATCCACAAAGTGCATTTCACCACATGCTGAGTAGACTTATTCACAGTTCTAATCCACCTGATTATTACATAATTCGACTAATAATTTTATGACACTGTCGGCAGTGGTGCACAAGTACTGCTTACAAAAAACACGACACATTCGTCAACAACTCTTGCCTTAAAAGGAAAAACCATATTGCATTTCAAGACAGTTTTAGCGAAAAGCATGGCACATCCGTCACTACATAGCATTGGTCGATGAGCTGCATTCACAGCGCGGGTCGCTTAGACACGGGGCTAAACTCGGCACACGATGCAGCGGACTTCGCAAGCGTGGGGGGGGGGGGCGGCGTCTTTTGTTTCTGATCCGTGGTGGCGGTGATGGCGTCGTCCGCCGCCGCTTTCGCGCAGGCTGGGAGAGGACGACAAGGTGCTGCTGTGGGAGAAGAGGCACCACCTCCATGCTCAGGCCAACGCGCTGCCTTGGCTGCTAGCCAGCGCCCCCAGCTGGCAGTGCTCAGCCCTGCCCGACGTCTATGCCCTGCTGGGACACTGGCCCGCCCTTTCGCCTGTGCACGCCCTCATGCTGCTGCACTCCAAGTAAGCCTACCGATGAAGTAAAGCCCGTACGGTCTTAATCATCATCAGTGTCATCATCATTGTCAGTCATGATCGATCCACTGCTGGTTGAAGACCTTCCCAAGCCGCCGTCATCTCTCGCCGTCCTGCGATGTAAAGATCACCAACACCTCTGATTACCATGGTTGGCTACGTACGGTGCGAAAGAAGTTCAACATTTTTCACGCAAAATATATTATTGCTCCATCTCCTCGGTGGACAGTTTTTACCACAAATAGCTTCGTTTTCATTTGTGAAGCTAATAATGCCGTCGTCTGGCCGAATGGCACGGTGGCTAGAAGTTAGGGGTTAAGCCATCTTTTTATAAAATAACTGCCACTTTATAAAAAGTCAGCACTTCTATCAAAATTGATCCCTGCCGTGGGAATCTTGTTATTTCAGCCACTGGCATCTGGCCGCTAACAGAACATGGCCTCACGTTTTAGCCGCCCCTTTTTGTCAACGTTCCAGCATGTTGTGGTGTCATAGACTTCTCGCATGCGAGCCATTCGCTTGACAGGAAATGCATTGAACCCTTCCAAAAGGAAAACATTGTCATCGGTGGGGCTCGTGCGCTTAAAGCCTACGTAACAAAACTCGCAGCAGCCCATCGCACCGCTTTGCATCGTAATTCCCGCTTACCCACTTTGCACGCTTTCTCGTCTGGCTGCCCACGTGTTCCTGTCTTCAGCTTTGCGGACCAGGAAGTGCGGCGTACGGCGGTGGAGTGGATCGCGTGCGTGTCTGATGACGAGCTTGCCGACTACCTGCCACAGCTGCTGCAGGTGCCGTCACTCCGCTCCACTTAAACACACGCAACCCTCGTTGTCAGTCAGAGCAAATGTCACGATTACATAATGCTCCGTCCTGTGAAGCTGCACATTCCACCTTCAAGCGGGTGGAGCGTGCAAAAACATCAGGTGCGCGAGACTCTTACCTGCAGGGATACGAGGTGGCAGTACAGGAAGTAGGTTTGCTGGCCACTGGTTTTTAAATGTTTCTGCGTGTGGGTTACCCCCACTACCTTGGTCTCCCCTCCACATACTAAAACGCTCGATATTGAGCTGGTCTAACATGTTGAGCAGAAGCTGTTTTTAAAATAATATGGAGGCTTCATGAGGTGTCCCCTTGACTTAAAAAAAACCTGTTATTTTAAGTGCATATTGATTGATTCGTAAGGTTTTCCACTAAATATCACCGTCGCAGGTGAGAGGAACGGTTTAGTCCTCGTGTTTTTGAATCCGTGATCTGCGTTGTGTAGGCACTGAAGCACGAATGTTACCTGGACAATGCTCTCATGAGGTTTCTACTGGGAAGGTCCATGTCAAACATCAGAATAGCCCACTACCTCTACTGGTGAGTAATGTGCGTCTCCATCGCTTGCCTCGCACAGCTAACACTTAATACCTGTTAAGACGGTTACATTTTAACGTCTGCTGCACTCAATCATGGTCGCTATATTCCGGCAGAACTTGCACTTAAAACATAAGTGGGTAATAATAGTCCGCTGTGTTTGTACAACAGGTGCACACTGCCTTGCTTTGCTGTGTTATCAATCCTGTACTTTTTATTTTCAGTGCATTGTAGTCGTATTTCAAAGGCAGTCTAATTGCGTTTGTCATCCCCTTTGTTTATACAGATGAAGAGCATTATTAGCATAATCTTCTCAGGTATAATGTTTATTTGTTTTAGTAAATCAAACTGGGTGCACACAGTGCATGATGTAAGAATGCAATATAAAATATTAACTTAGTGTACTGTTTTAGTTGTGGCGTCATCTATCGCCATGTCCAAGATTTGCCTTTGGTGTCTCTCATATGTACTTCCCTTATCCTTGACAAAGCGTGATAATCATTGAAAACTTCGAATTTGCAGAACACAGCAGCGATAAGAGACCTATCTGGATTTCGTGTGCAACATAATTTTCCCTACAGAAATGTAATATACAATCTAGAATGTATTTCTGAGTTTAGAAATCTATTACTTCATTGACCAAAATCTAAATCAGTGAGATGCAAACAGCAGTAATCTTTTAGATAGACTGGCTCATGCCATGGTAATGTGGAATTTCTGCTGCCAGTCCAGGGCCACTAATGCAGATGTTCAGCTGCCACATTGCTCAGCAGATTAGAGATTATTCAACTTGGCCTCACGTGATTGGTCAAACTCGACTTCCCCTAACCCCCATCATCTTCATCACTACATATTCTGCATTCCGCGGAATTCCATGCAGTACATCGCAAAATGCCCTGTGGTAGTCTTAAGGGGTACACCCTGCGGCAGCTATCCCTGTGCGGCATAAGGCGAAGGCAACTCCGGCCCGTTAATGCGCGGGGCAATGTTGCCATGTGGCAATGAAACAATTTGCGAGCAATTTATAAAATAAAAAAATTATCTATTCCGCCAACACGCATAGCCTCTTTTTTTTTTAATAACGTCACAGGATCTTCATCGTCCACTCTGAAGCAGACCAACGCGTCTATACAGTCTGTACATATGAGCACAGTCTTAACCAGGGCAGCCCCTGGGCCCAACATGTGAACCTCTGCAACAAGCGGTGAACGTGGGGCAATGTCACCGCCCCATGTCCTTTCCTATGGATTAATAACAGCTGATTAAAGATGTAAATTTAGATTTGTTATCCACTCATATTTGTTCATAAGCCAAGTGGATCTCTCCCAGTCCTCCTTTAAAGCAGGTCTTCACAATCTGGTCTGTTTTGGGATTCGTGGCCGCGCTCGTAGGATGCCGAATCTTTGATGCGCCATTTGATCCTCATGGTGGTACCCCGGGGTACCAAATAATACAAACTGGCCGAGGCAATTAAATATTTTATTTTTGGGACACTTTTTTTCCAGGGGTGTACTTCACTCCGCCACTGGGGTACCAATCAGTCCGAAATCGGTGCTATGATGTCGAAACGCAGCGAGGGCGATTGCGCTGGAACCCTGAACGCTCACGTAGTGGTGCATCGTGAGTACAGCTCGTCGAGATGAGTCGATCGCCGCATCGCCTACCATCAACAGACTAAAAATGACTGCATCACGGACATTATGTGAGAGCCGGGGTACTCCGGTGCCCCGGGGTTCCGCCATAAGGTTAATTTGCACATCAGGTGGCCGAATCGGCCAAGCCTGGTCCTGATTCGCCCCATCACCACTCATCCTGCCATCCCCCCCCCCCCTCTCGCCCCCTTCTGTGGCTGCGTCACCCAGGCTTCTGAAGGACACGCTGGAGGACGGGCATTTTGGCGGGCGCTCCCACCGTGTGCTCGGCGCGCTGCTCTGCTGCTGCGGGCGCACGCTGCGCCACGACCTTGAGAGCCAGACGCGGCTCGTGCACACGTTGGCCACGGTGGCCGAGAAGGTGCGGCAGGCAACCGGCTCCACCAGACAGGTAAGGCCACACCGAACGGCGGCAGCCGAGTTCCAGCGACATTGTCACGGTATTATTATATTGCAGGTTCTGACAAAAGCTGTAGGCGTAGCAGTAGTGGTCGTTAGTCATTTAGGTGACACCCTGCTCGGATTAGCAATGGAGTGGTGCTTGTGTGCATTGGCTGCCCTCCGGCACCTCCGATTTGGCATGGTTGGCTACGTACGGTGCGAAAGAAGTTCAGCATACCTACATACAACTGGGGAAATGCCACATTTTTACAGTGCAAGTGCATGTTGGGTATGTGGTCGTTTTGGCCTTCTCTGGTTTACACTGGTGAGACATGGTCCTAAAGAAGGCTGTCTCTGGTGTAGGCTAATCAGTTGAAGGACAATGCATATATAATTATCAGAGCATGTTTTGTTTGCATGTTCATCACAAGTACGTGTGGTTAATGCAGACTTGATTCCTTGCAAAAGGTTCCTATTTTGCGTTTGGACATCTTAACAGCTGTTTTATTGCCAGAAAGGCTGAATCGTTTCCATTTTTTTTCATATGTGGTCCTGTTCAGCCATATTGCAGAGAGGAGCATGAAGCAGTCACGCTCAGTAAAAAATCATCATAGACCGATTGATTGATTAAGATCAATTCTCATGCTCATAATGCATGCATTGAATGGTTGCATAATAATTCATCTTTTATCATTTATGGATATCATATGATGAGTCTATACTAATTTCAGTTGCTATGGTGACAGAATACTAATGTGTCTGTAAAATCGAGACGGATAATAATTATTTAATAAATCAAATCACGACCTCGCATCACGACAAATCGCCGTGTGGGTGAATCGCCTCATTCCTAATAACCAAATGAACATTGTTGCACGGTGGTCACTGTGTCTCGACAGGCCATGCTGCAGGAGGGCATGGAGAAGGTACAGCAGACGTGCTTCCGAAATGCTGGCAGCTCTCGTCTGCCCATCTGCCCCAGCCTGGCAATCCGCGGTGTCAACCAAAAGGTGTTGTTGCGCTTGCCTTCTGGCTTCTCATATTGTTGCCGTAATACTTTAATCCATACCTCAGCCATTACATTTTACTCTGACATACGAGGGCATTGTGTTTTTCATTGTTCAGTGGACACCTGCCAGCGGTCCTCGGTGTATTTTGCAGCCTATCGTAGACTTTGTATCGTAGACATGCAATGTAATTTGAGTTTCTTGGGACGAGCGATATCGGCAGCTGCTTAAAGAGCCCCACAAACACGATTGGGGAGGTGTGATAGGTGCACTCCCTGTGCCCACAACGTTGCCACACTCTGATTCTTCGGCTGCGATGCATTCCTGCGTGTCACCACTGGCATGTTAAATATCCCTTGTGTGTTTTATTGTATGTTTCATTTTACAAAAAAGGGTGTTTTTTTTCGAACGCGGAACGTGTTTCTCCATTAGGCCTGCTCTTTCTTCAATTCCAACGCCGTCCCTCTGAAAGTTTCCTTCCTCAATGCTGACCCATCTGGAGAGGACATTCAAGTAATGTTCAAGGTGAGACGCCCAGACTTGCTTGCTTGCAGTGTTAAGTGACAACTTGGTGAGGGTGTGGCACTGAGTTCAGTGGGTCTGGGCTCCAGAGCTCAGAACACACACACACAAACATGTTTTATATGAAATTCCAGATTTTATTATTTGAAATCCGTTTGGGCATACCTCGATAAAACACGTTTGGTTTGCGTCCTTCAAAACCTGAACAGTGAGTGAAAAATCGTACCGTATTATCGAAGCATGTTTTCGCAATAAGGTCCCATTTCATTAACTAAATATGCATTACAAACAACATTTTCTAACCCAAAACCTGCTAAAGTAACACTCTCCAACGCAACTAAGATATATTCATGCAACAATATGTGGAATAATAACTCGACGTGTATTTTAGAATGCATATAGTATACACTATATCTTCTTTGGTTCTTTCGGTAAAGTCACGTAGAATGAGAATAAAATAATAAATTGATAAAATAAAATAACACAATAATATTCTCACGACGTTTCGGCCACAACACAAGCGGCCTTCATCAGGTGAAGGGAGCGAGACTGTCTGGTAGGACAGCGCTGGAGTGAGAGAGCCACGTTCAGATCACGGCTTTTAAGCTGTGTGAGAGGAACAAAGAGCCTTGACGAAGGAATTAGCATAAAATTTAGCATTGAAAAGGCTGAATGATTAGCTTGTGACTGGTCACAGAAATAGCTATGTTAAAAGTTAAAGCATACACATCCGCAGAGGCACCCATTGTTAAAAGGAATTAGCATAGAATTTAGCATTGAAATAGCTAAATTAAGGCATTCGCTTGTAACTGCTACAGAAATAGTTACGTTGAAGTCAGAGCATACACATTCACCGAGGCACTTAGTACAAATCAGAACAGGAGAATTTAGCATTGAAATAACTAGGCGAATTTAGCATTGAAATAACTGGGTGATTTGCTGGTGACTGGTCACAGAAATGACTACACATCTGAGCTATTCACAGTACTATATAGTGAACCAATAAAAACTAAAATATAAATTACCTTCATGTTATCAATAAACTCTATATTCTCCAATCAGCTAAGCTACCAACCATAAGTCGTTATATATCACAATGCTATATGGCGAAAAAAATGGGTGGATTCTTACCCTCAAATTTCCGTACCACGGATAGCTACGGGCCCCGTTCAGACGGACGAGTTCGTCCATGGTCGGAACAGAGGAGGGGGAGAGAGACAGCTGCGAAGCCCTAGTATACTCCATGTTGTAAACCATACCATTAACCGTGGTGTGAGAGGTATTAAGAGGCAATGCTGGCGAAAGAGCTGCGGTCTGAAGGTCATCGTAAAGAATCCACCCATTTTTTCACCATATAGCATTGTGATATATAACGACTTATGGTTGGTAGCTTAGCTGATTGGAGAATATAGAGTTTATTGATAACATGAAGGTAATTTATATTTTAGTTTTTATTGGTTCACTATATAGTACTGTGAATAGCTCAGATGTGTAGTCATTTCTGTGACCAGTCACCAGCAAATCACCCAGTTATTTCAATGCTAAATTCGCCTAGTTATTTCAATGCTAAATTCTCCTGTTTTGATTTGTACTAAGTGCCTCGGTGAATGTGTATGCTCTGACTTCAACGTAACTATTTCTGTAGCAGTTACAAGCGAATGCCTTAATTTAGCTATTTCAATGCTAAATTCTATGCTAATTCCTTTTAACAATGGGTGCCTCTGCGGATGTGTATGCTTTAACTTTTAACATAGCTATTTCTGTGACCAGTCACAAGCTAATCATTCAGCCTTTTCAATGCTAAATTTTATGCTAATTCCTTCGTCAAGGCTCTTTGTTCCTCTCACACAGCTTAAAAGCCGTGATCTGAACGTGGCTCTCTCACTCCAGCGCTGTCCTACCAGACAGTCTCGCTCCCTTCACCTGATGAAGGCCGCTTGTGTTGTGGCCGAAACGTCGTGAGAATATTATTGTGTTATTTTATTTTATCAATTTATTATTTTATTCTCATTCTACGTGACTTTACCGAAAGAACCAAAGAAGATGAATCATTGCAGTCACGAAAGCTTTAAATCGAAATATACACTATATCATTTACTAACCAAAAACTGTGGTGCAAGTCATGTGAGGCGATGCTCTAGCGCAGTGATCTTCATTGCAAGGCCCGCGGGCCACTGGTGGCCCCTTGGTGGCCTTTAGTGTGGCCCCTGACGTGCAGCCCTCAACAAAACACAATTTACACATGCGAAAACACCCCCCACCCCCCCCCCCCAATCGCCCCATCCTGCTGTCAAACCCAATGGTTTCAAATGTGTGGTGGCCCTCGCACTGATATCTTATCGGCGAAAGTGAAGCCCTTCTGAAAATGAGTGAAGAATACTGAGCTAGTGAAAGGGGGAGGGGAGAGGGATGACTGGAAGGGTGAGGGATGGGGATTAGGAGAGTCTTCCTTCCCCTGTGGAACATCAAACGTAATAATGAAACAAACGCAATATGAACCCAATTTTATTTATTTATGCCTTACATGATAATGATGAATCGTTGTAAATTTAATGCACAGAGATTGGGAATCACTATCAACATTCAATGTGAATATTTAATATTTATGGTGCTGTCTGCGTGTTGAATCAGCCTACAGTATGATGCATATTGTTGGTTTATAAATAAACAAATATAATTGTATCTCAAGATATTGTTCCACAGGGCAGGTGGTAGAGGCAACTACATTATACCGGGGGTACATGCTGGGAGAAAGGACTATATAGTAGGGTCATAATGGTTTTATCACGGAGATTAACACACCGCAGGTGTATAATGAACATTAAGGATGGAGAATAAATACGGTGAAGAACTGCAAAACATAGAATTAAAATAGCACCAGGCCCAGGTCAAGAAAAACTTGGTCAAAGGCAAAATAGAATAGGAAAGTATTTAGTCTGGACTTAAACAGAGGGGAGTCCGTGGGAGAGACGGCCAGAGGGAGCTCGACTCAGTGGTTGTGGGCAGATGGGTAGAGACCTCAAATTGAGTGGACGCGTATGAGAAGAATCAAGAGAAAAATCCTCAATTTTAATTGATATAAACAAATGTGCCCGCTAACTTCTCCCAATGTATAAGAGATGATGTGCGTGTGTTCCCCGGCAGGTGCTCACTTACATAACACTGTGCTTTAACACTCTGTATGGATAAGAGAAGAGGTCTTTGTCTCTTTTTTGGGCAGGTGGGTGACGACCTGAGGCAGGACATGCTGACCCTGCAAATGATCAAGATCATGGACAAGATCTGGCTGCAGGAGGGTCTGGACATGCGCATGGTGTTGTTCAAGTGTATCTCCACTGGGAAGGAGCGGGGTGAGTGTGGCCACAGTCTCTCATGAATTGTTTTGAACAGATAGATTGACTGTGGTACGGCACAGCGTTAACCGATTCGTATCATCATCGTGGACATTATCCTGGTTAGCTAATTGATTGTTGTAAATTACAGATTGTTATACTTGGCACGTGCGCAGTGCCTGCCATTGTGATGAGTAAACGGTACTGCCAATGTTGAGCAGCGGTAAAATTGTACGATGGAGCTGGTGCTCTGCCCCCTTGCAAATGGCTCAACGAACCAACTCCACAGCCCCGATTCTTTGCCCCGATGCACGTAATATTTTATTTTGGATCTCGTGGCCCTTCTAGCCACTAGGCATTACATTCCGCGCAATGTACATTTTTATATATTTAGTTTATTGTACTTCCCCCACACCTCTGAGTAGCACGGTTGGCTACCTACGGTGCTAAAGAAGTTCTAAATACATACAAAAACAGTCAACTATTGTACTTTATCATGGTGTCCCCCCCCCACCTCCGTCTTATGGTAGTTAATCTAATCGCATGGCGTTAAATCGCTACAAGCCAGGCCATTCCCACAGAGTAACGTCTGCTGTGGGTTGCGCGTGTGCCCATGCACGTGTCTCGTTTGCAGGCATGGTGGAGCTGGTGCTGGCCTCGGACACTCTGCGGAAGATCCAGGTTGAGCACGGGGTGACGGGCTCCTTCAAGGACAAGCCCCTGGCCGAGTGGCTGCAGAAACACAACCCCACCGAGCAGGAGTACGAGAAGGTGGGCATCGCTTGCTCACCGCAGGAAGTGCAACTCCGGTGCGGGCCGTGTTCCGTGGTTCGCACCTGAACGAACGGGAGGCATCCCCGTTTCCGATGCTATGCTTGTTTTCTTGATGTAGCAAAAAGAAGGAATTGACAATGTGGTGTAGTGGCATCGATGACATTTGCAGTGATTGTCTCTTGACCTTTTATTTTTTTATTTTGGCTCTTCAGAAGCATATATTGCCTGCATACATGGAAAGGGTGTGTTACGAATTGACATTGATTCTGCCGCTGCGCCCAGCGAGTGACACTTTTGCGAGGCCCTTGCTGTGGGATTGTTGGTTTTCCATCACTTTCTCAGACGCGTTTTAACATGATCTGACTATTGTAATAGGTTAACCATAATCTTGTGGTAGTCAAGTTGAGACCTCTAAAGCAACACCTGTCTATGACCTACAATGACATATTAAAGAATTAAATAGATTGATAGTTGATCCTTAAAAGTATTGATTAAGATTTTGAAAAAAGGATGGTGAATAGTCTTGGGTCTTTCGGTAAAGTCACGTAGATAGTTTCAAAGAAAATAACAAAAAATAAACAACTACGACGTTTCGATCGCAACACAAGCGGTCGTCTTTAGGAAAATGATGGTGAAGTGAAGCATACTGCGCTTAAGAGCCAAGTGACCTCAGTTCAAATCCAGGCCATGGTTTAATCAGTGGCAGGTGATATCTCGACACCCTCTTGCCAACCCACACTGTTTTTAATTATCACTTCAATTAAATTATTTCTACGACCATGCAAGAGCCCGTTGCAGATCAGAAGGACTCTCTTTGTAAGAGGAGCTGAGGAATCCCCGATGAGCGAGCATTCCCTGCTGAGCGGTCAAACCGCGTCGTCTGTGCCACCGCTGCTGTGCTCCAGGCGGTGGAGAACTTCATCTACTCATGCGCCGGCTGCTGCGTGGCCACGTACGTGCTGGGCATCTGCGACCGGCACAACGACAACATCATGCTGCGCACCACGGGGCACATGTTCCACATCGACTTCGGCAAGTTCCTGGGCCACGCGCAGATGTTCGGCAACATCAAGCGGTGAGGGAGGCCAGCTGAGCTTTCAATAAAGACAAAGATCCCCCATATAGCCTGAACAGACTGTTGGGGCAAGTGTTGTTAGAAAGTGCCTAATGAAGGCCAGCACGACCGCTTGGGGGTGGGTAGCCAAGCACCACGCCCTTTGTCTCCCTAGTGGCAATGTTTTCACACTGCACCAGGTACTCATTTGAGGGTGAGTCGACCTATGGAAGGCCCAGGACAATTAATATAGTATAATTGTCACTGGTGTGGCCGTGAGTGGGAATCGAACTCTGGTCGCCAGGTTCGTTAACCGCTACACTACCACTCCCCACTGTTCTCCATACAACAACAAAAACAACCGCCATTCGCCACTAAGTGGCGGTGACATCACCACGACGCTTGTGCTAGCCTCCATCCATACACACACACGCGCGCACAACACCCACCTGCCTTCCTAAGTAACTTGCAGACTTGGAGAACGCTCGACTCGCAAGAGTTTAGGTTCTTAAAATGCTCCGAGCACATGGGGCACAACGTAGGACATCGCGCCCAACAACACGAGCGGTACAACTGTGAAACAGGAGAGCTACACAACACAGTCGCAGAACATCTATGCAGTAGTTTAGCAATCCTTTCTTAAAATAAAACTATTAAACTATTTTAATGTTGCCAGGTAAGGCCTACTGAGCTGTATAACTGTTTTTCAGAAGCGACCTGGCCACAAATGACGGCTCATTTAAATGGCTTATAATGTGGAAATTTATAGCAGCCAAATACTCTAAATGATTGCTTATGCTAAATGTGGAGGGAAAAACCGGAGGACCTGGAGAAAGATCCACTCGACCAAAGGGAGAGAGACATGCAAACTATAAATATACAACAGGCGTTAGGGTCGGGATCGAACCCACGAACCTCCTGCATACCAGGCCCCACTGTTGTTATGCCGCATAAGCACTGCCGACTGCTGTCCGTACCCTGCAGTGACCGGGCGCCGTTTGTGCTCACGTCGGACATGGCATACGTGATCAATGGTGGGGAGAGGCCCACCAGCCGCTTCCAGCACTTTGTGGACCTGTGCTGCCAGGCTTACAACCTCATCCGCAAGCACACCAACCTCTTCCTCAACCTCCTCGGCCTGGTACGCTCGCCAGTGCTCTCAGCAGTGATAGCCAAAGGCTCCCTCTTCTCGCCAAGATTCGTCTTCGTTGCTGCCATAGTCGTAAATGGTGTCGACTGTGGTCAGAATCAGAATCTTTATTTATCCTGGAGAAATCCGATGAGCTATGAAGCTCCTTTTCACAGATGGTCGCTGGTTCTATGCACGCGTTATTGTGCTCACTCGGAAAAGTGTACACCGACATGGCCGCTTTTGTGCCTATGACCAAATCACCCATAGTGCGCCCGACCTCGTCAGTTCTCATTAAGCAGCAAGGCCGTGCCTGGATGGTGCTTTGGATTATTGACTACCATGCACAAGCAAGGGGTTATCAGCGGTGACAGCCATGTGGTGGGCAGTAGCGGGCCATTTGCAGAAAAATCCATGATTCTCCCGTACTCTTGTCCTCCCCATCATCACCAAACCCTCGCTGCCAGCGCATGGGTAAAGTACAGTCAAATAACCCCCCATGACCTGCACAGCGTGCGGAGAGGCCCTCTTCCAGCAGTGGATTAACTAAACACTGTATTCATGACTAATATGCTCGGTCATTTTATGTATTGTATGCTTTAGATGCGGCGGCATACATGCTACACGTATAAGCTTTAAATAAAAAAAAAATTCATGAATATTAGCTTAAGTAAAACAAAAATGGCCTGTTTGCTTATCATTGAGAAGATGTACAGATTTTTGATTGATTTCTATAGCAGCAACGTTTTATATTTAGATTAATGTGTAAAGTGCCTATATCAAACGTGTTTGAGATTTCATGGAAAGGGTTACTGGTGAGGATATGGACTGGGGAATTATCCACGCAATTATCCTGCATTTGCCAAGCCTAATCTGTACACCGTTCAGTGTTGACTTAGCCGATTCCATGCTCCAGTGCACTGTGCAGAGAATTTGATACTCGCTTAACATTGTCGTTTCAAAGTGGCTAAAAATTAATCTCTCTTGTGACATTGAGCATGAAGCCAATTTTGGTTAATTTATTTCTAAATTTTACCACCTCTAACCCCTTCCTGCTCTCTCACATATTTGCTGTCGGTTGATTTTATGTTATCGTTTTACTGCCCGGTTAAACAGAAGCCCCCACACAGCTCTGGCAGAATTTTACACTTCGTTTTTCATTATCTGTGGCTGTCTGGATAGATGATGTCATCGGGAATACCAGAACTTGCCGATGTTCAAGATTTGAAATACGTTTATGAAGCGCTGATGCCACAGGCTACAGACACAGAGGCGACAGCCCAGTTCACAAGGTAAGACAATGCATTGATGCTCTTGAAGAGCGTACCATTATGTTTTTACTCCGCACGCTCTGGTGAATGATTTCTATACGGCATAGCACCATCTGCTGATGTCTCTCTGCTGTTGCATATGCTTCTGCATTTAACAATGTATGTTGACTTTTCGCACTGTATGTACCAATCGTGGTAATTGGAGTCTGTTTTTTGTATTTTTATTTCCCGATTTTTTTCAAAGCATAATGCAGCTTAGCATTTACCGCATCACCTTCGTTAACAATCCAGTTTTTTCAGCCACCCGATGCATTTCATGTCATTAATTTAGCTTCGAAAACCCTGCTACATAATTAAACATGCTACTCGATGCCGATGTCATGACTCGTATTCTGCATATGAACGTATTTAACAAGTCTCAGTGCCCCTGTTAAGGAAAATTATCCAGGCCTTTATTTATAAAAAAAAAAATAATGAATCTCGGTTGGTGCTCGCATAAATGAAAATAGGACAATGGTAATTTCAAACCTATAATTCATGTCCTGGTGGAGTGAGTGCTGGTGGAGTGGACAATGCAATGCCCTGTGAACCCAGCGTCCTGGGTTTGATTTCCGTCCAGGGCTAACATCGGAAGCGAACTGGTTTTGCCACCTCCCTTTCACCAACCTCCACTGACCAGCATAGTGACGTATGGTCGAATGAACTCCCCATGACCAACATGGCACGGAGAGCCCTGCATCCCGCAGTGGATTTTCAAAGGGATCTATATTATTCATGTTAATAATTAGCCGGAGGAGGTGAACGCAGACATGGAACGAGATCGCGTCTTAAAAAAGAGCCTTGGCTTGGTGGGTTCTCACCTGGTGAAATAGCTAGTCAACATCTATAGAAATAGCACGATATTAACAAACTCATCATATTCGTTAATAACACTTTCCTAGAAGGGAACTATATATAATGGCCAACATTTTTAGCAATGCCCCTTCTTCATGAGCACATCAGTTGTTCTCTTGTTATGAAGAAGGGCCATTGCCCAAAACATAGTCGATTATATATATTTAGCTTTTAAGGCCAGTGTTATTGACAAATATGTTGAGTGTTTTTAGTTTTAAAACAGATTGTTGTGACAGCGAGGTTTGACGGGCTGTTCGTTGGCCGGTGTGTGACTTTGGCTCTCAGGCTGATTGAGTCGAGCCTGGGCAGCATGGCCACCAAGGTGAACTTCTTCATCCACAACCTGGCGCAGCGCTTCTCAGGGCCGCAGACCTCCAACGAGGAGCCCACGCTCTCCTTCAACTCGAAGCAGCACAGCCTACGCACGGACGGGCGCATCTGTGAGGCGTCTGTCTACGCGTACCAGAAGCGCTACAACCCCGAGAAATACTATGTGCGTCCACCGCGTCACGGTCACCGCATCGCTAGCGACTCAGCACGGGTGCACGCACCTCACAGAACGTTAAAGGTGTCAATGATTTTCGGCCGCCACGGTGGCAAGATGGTAACTACCTCGCCTGGTATACAGGAGATTGTGGGTTAGATCCTGACGCCTGTATATTTGGAGTTTGCATGTTTTCCCCGTGATCGCATGGATTTTTATCCGGGTCTTCCAGTTTTTCCCCTCTGTTTATAATCTAGATGCATTTAGAGTATTCGGCTGCTTTAAATTTCCACATAAGCCTCTTCGTTGAGCTATCATTTGTGGCCAGGTCGCTTCTGAAAAATATCTATATAGCACAAGTGGGCCTTACCTGGTAAACTAATTAAATAAATTGTATGACTTTATATAGTTTAGTTTATATTCGGTAGCATTGATCTGCGTACTCTATCTTGTTTATATTTTCGAGTAAATTAAGTCGTTGTTTGGCTGAGAGAGCTTACTGCCAAGAGTAATCGCCACGTGTTGAATTGAAAAGCTTGCTGTATGCCTTCATTTAAAAATTACGTTGGGTGGCGCGAGATCTTCACTGTTCAATAGAACTATAATTGATCAGCATTTGCTATCACATGTAAGCGATTGCAGTTGGTCAGTTCATCATTTGTGGAAGCCTACTGGACATCTGTGGTAAAAGAGATGAATAGCTTGTCTAGAGATGTATGCAGAAATATGTTTTTGAATCCTTTAAGGAAATATGTGAATTTTTTATATATATATTATCGCATGCATGGGATGTCCTTGCTTACACTTATTGCCTCCATTCTGACGCTTCCACCAATCGCGCTGCAGATTTACGTAGTGAAGGTGGTGCGGGAGGTCATGCCGGTTCCTACATTCATCTTGAGGACCTTTGCAGAGTTCCAGGAACTGCACAACAAGCTCTGCATGCTCTTCTCATCATTGCTGCTGCCCAGGTAGATAAACATCTGCAAACGGATTTCGTTAAAACGTAGACACAGGCTAATAGCAGCCTGACATTGCCTCGGTTCTCATTGTCGTGTGACGATGTTGTGTACATGCGCGATTTTGCCTTCTGCTCCTTCAGCTTTCCAAATAAATTGATCTTGGGACGCACGCATGTCGAGGAGGTGGCTTCCCGAAGGAAAACGGACCTCCACAACTACCTGCAGGAGCTCATGCAGTGTAAAGCTGACATCACGGAGGTAGGCACAGTACCACTGCTTCCCTGGTAAACATCGCGGTGACCCGCTCCCATGTACCACCATCACTGCGGTGTATAGGTTGCATCGATGCCTTCCAATCCTGCCATGTCCTTCACACAGGTCTCCTCCCCCTCGGTACTCAAGCTGAAGTTAAACGGTGCAAGTTCGATTTGGTGATGTTGCCTAAACGGTGTTCTCATCGATTTTGCTCGGTTTCACATTGGCTGTGAAACTGAGTAAAAACGGTGTTCTCATCGATTTTGCTCGGTTTCACATTGGCTGTGAAACTGAGTAAATATGGTACTTCATTGCTTTATTAACGCAGAGCGCTAAAAAAATGTTTGCACAAAATCATATTTTTGAATGTATTGTGCTGTACAAGTAACAGGCACTGTGATTGTTGGCTGGATGGCAGTGGAAAATCCAGCGTGACTAAATATTTTGTATTCGTATAAGCAACTGGCTGTTTGAAAATAACAAAATATGGCTCTATTTACAATGGTCAATAACACACTCGCCTTGGTCATTTTCGTCGTTGGTGCTTTGTTTTTTCTTTCTTTGCCTTTCTGAAATGCCTCGTTCTCACCTTCGCCTTGATCCCCTCTTTCGGGTTCCCTGGGCTGGACCCACCTGGCGGTTGGCGAGGGCCTGGGGTCATGAATCCCACGCCTCTACTCTCCTCTGTAGCGACATGGGCCGTGACTTAGCATAATGGTTCAGCAGTGTGCGACTGCATTGCAAAACAGAAGCCGCCAATGTACAGCGTTTGTCATGGAAACGTCGTGCAGCATTTTAAAGAATCCCCGCAAAGATACGCGCAGGGATGTTTCACCGATTAACTTGAGCTTTTAGAATCTACCCATATCCTGCCTTATGTGATCTAGTCAGTAAATCTACTGCTGGAACCTGTAGCCTGTCAGAATAACTTGTTCCACTATCTGTGTGCGCATGTTAATGTGTAATAGAATTGTCGCGCGTGTGGAATGCATTACCGTTAAATTAGTGCTTTTGATGCCTCCCTATTCTAGGTGCTGATATAAAATACATATTGTTGAAAAAGGTGACCCATTAAGAACAACTGCGGCTTTTGGAATGATCAGCCACAGTACAAGCTCTCATCAAAGTTACATTTCATCCAGAAATGTAAAATAAAAAACCCCGATGACGGACTAATTTACATTTTTGTCATGAGTACACCTAATGTGTTGTTTGCGCGCGTGTGTGTATGTTGTGTTTGCGCGTGTGTATGCGTGTGCTTGTTACGTAGTGCGACCTCCTGTACACTTTTTTCCATCCGATCCTGAGAGACGAGAAGGTCAAGGAAGAGGTGACCAGACTGAATGGTGAGATGTAAATCCTTATTAATGATGAAATATTCTTGGTTCTTTCGGCAAAGTCACGTAAAAGGGAAATAATTAAATAATACACATTATTTCCCTTCGACGTGACTTTACCGAAGGAACCAAGAATATGAATCCCTGCAGCTACGAAAGCTTTAAATCGAAATGATGCAATAGTTACTCAAACACAATCTTTAAAAAAAAAATGTGTAAAACTACATTTGTTCACTGTCATTGAATTTCACAATGCAGCATTTATTTTGTACGCCATTGTACAAAACTAGATTTGTTCAGGTCATACCACTCATTCCACATTGTGCATACATAACATCGTTAAAGTACAACGTTGCCGATTTTAAAAGCTAAGCAATTTAATTCCGGGGCTGCGAATGCAACGTTTAATTTGACGCGTCGCACGCGATGCCACTCCGAGCTGGCGGGGTGTTGCCGCCGTGCAGAGGGTGACGCAGTGGCTCCCCCTCCCCCCCCCACCTGTTCCCAGCAGAGCCGTTCCCTCAAACGCTGACGGCGGAGAAAGTGGGGGGCAAGGTGAAGCTCTCCGTGTCCTACCGCAATGCCGCGCTCTTCATCATGGTTATGCACATTAAAGACCTGGTCAGTGCAGCCCTCCCAACGTCGCCTCTGCAGCTTGTGTTCAGCTCGCTATTTTTATTTTTTTCCATCCTCCACGCGCGTCTATGCTGTGCCTCCTTGTCTCGTAGCATCCACTCTGTGGCTTGTATCTCGTGCCACCGTATTCTTCCATCTCATCCTCGGGCTCCCATCTCCTTCTGCACCTGCATCTCCATAGCCCTTCTGACTGCATCTTCTTTGTCTTCTTCGCAACATCTCCATAGCCCATTTTTGTCTTTAGTTTGTTGTCCTTCCGCCGCACCCCCGATAAGGACGGTTGGCTACGTAAGGTGCAAAAGAGGTTCACCATAGGGTTGTATATTCAACACAAATGTGCAAGCCGTCAAAGTGTAACTGTTCTCACCTTGCAGTGCGCTTCAAACAAAACCTAATTTTCCACGTGTCTTACTGTATGGCGATATCAGCGGAACAAGATCTAGAGCAGTGGTTTTTAACCTTTACTGCAGCCATGCACCCCTTCTTTGGTTCTCGATCGTAAAAAAAGTATAATGTTAATAAATACGTAGGTTTGAAACGAAGTAGTTGTACTTATGTGCCCGTGCTTAATTTGTGTTTTGATTATTTACCTTCAGGCCATGTCTCGCACCCCTAGGGGGTGTGTGCACCCCAAGTTGAGAACCACTGGTCTAGAGGATGGTTAATGAACAAAATGGATCAAATTCACGTAAGAATGTCTGGAACTGGAAATCAGACACCCTTGGAAGTGGATAGGCTACCGCTGGTTATTAGTAGGTGTGCTGCGGCAGCGAGATGTTAACTCCCCCACCTGGTATACAGGAGGTCGTGGATTCAATCCCGACCCTGATGCCTGCTGCAGTTTGCATGTTCTCCCCGTTGTCATGTGGATTTTTCTCTAGGTCCTCCGGTTTTTCCCTCCGCATTTAGAAACATGTGTCTAGAGTATTTGGCCTCTATACATTTCCACATGATAAGCCACTTTCTTGAGCTATTATTTGCGGCCAGGTCGCTTCTGAAAAATAGCTACTTTATACAACTCAGTGGGCCTTACCTGGTTAAATCAAAATTAGTTTAGTTTTTGGGTGTGGCCGAGGCATATAGGCAAGTGGACTGCCTGCGATGTTAACGAGAGGCATGGCCAGGGAATGAGCGCATGCTGACAGAATTCTGACTTCCGACTATATTTGATGGTGTGTTTGACATGGGTGATATGCGCACAATGTAAACACGCTCAATGGAGTGGTTATATAATAACAGTTTACAACGACATTACATTGTAATGGTCGAATTACTTGCGTAGCATGTCGCTAAAAGAGGTTCCAGCACAGCTTAAAATTAAAGCATTCCTGCGTGACTCAGAACAAAGTGGAATCTGTAGTAAAACCAGAATCAACTTATTAAACACATCCAGACAGCAGGTTGGTTTCACGCTTGCCCCAGTTAACATTACTACAATATAAAATACAATAACATTTAATCTTGATTTGAAACTTCCGTGACTGCGGGAATTCTTACTCTTCGGTTCTTTCGGTAAAGTCACGTCGGTAGAAAAATATATATAACTTTGGTGAGGCACTGCCTTACCAACACTTACTTCATCTGGAATGGTACATTCTACAAACAAAATGAAGGTACCCCTATGGGTTCTCCCTTATCACCAGTGGTAACAAATGTTTTCATAGAGAAATTTGAAACGGATGCCATCCTGACATTCACCCTACGTCCTTCCCTGTGGAAGAGATACGTAAATGACACTTTCGTCATCTGGCCACATGGCCAGCCAGCACTGAACCAATTTTTCAACCACATCAATTCCATCCATCCATCCATCAAATTCACCATGGAAGTGGAAAATGATGGCAAGGTACCATTCCTGAATGTTTTTATCGAGAAGAGGCCTGATGGCTCGCTGGGACATTCCGTCTACAGTAAAGCCACCCACACGGATTCCTATCTAAAGCCTGACTCCCACCACCATCCGGCCCAGAAGAAGTCCCTCATCAAAACACTACACCATAGGTGCATCTCCGACCAGCGCCACCTAGCCAGTGAACTGGAGCACGTACACCAAGCCCTCAAGATGAATGGATACTCAGACCGCACAATCCGCAAAGCTGTATCCCCAGCCATGGGGAGACAACCATCTGAGGACCCAATCAAAACCATCACCTTGCCATACATAGCAGGTGTTACCAAAAAGATTTCCAAAATCTTAAACACAAGATCCAGGTCCGTGTCAATACAGTACACAAAATCCGTGATTTGATCCCATCTGTGAAGGATGTCATTCCTGACATGCAATACCCTGGTGTCTACAAACTAAGTTGTGTCTGCGGCAGCAGTTACATTGGGGAAACGAAACGACATGTCTCGAAACCGTGTTCCTGAACACAAGGCAGACTTGAAACACGGCAGAACCAATACCTCTGCCGTGGATGATCATTGTTATAACGCAGTGGGCTCGCACGATATTATTTTTTCCGAGACCAAGGTACTCTGCAAACCTTCGGGCTACCATCAAAGATTTGTCCATGAAGCCATCCAGATATATAAACACAGAGACAATTTCAACCGAGAAGATGGGTATATGCTGAACAATCATTGGAAGGACGTTATTAACCAAGCAAAGTCTGTGGTGCTTGCTGTGGTGCTTCCATTCTTCCCTGCCGTTTGGCTGTTATCTCCGACTCTCTGAGTTGCATTGCCCTGTTAGGTGCCTCTGCATTAACGGGCTGGGGTCTCACTAACATGGCCACCTCTGCTCCCTGTGCCTCGATGTATCGATGGTTCTGGCTGTGTGATGGGCTGTGTGTCTCACTGGCGCGACCACCGTTGTGGTGGTTCTCTTGCGTGGACGCGCTTGCCTCTCACAGCGCAGTTGGCGGTGCCGCAGCTTGTGTTACACATAGACATTACATTAACCTGCTAACCCCCCTAATCTCTCTGCCTAATCTCTCCCATCAACATAGTGCTAGTCTCCCATTAACACTGCTGTTGTGCGCGTATGCAGGGACGGTGCTTTTGTACGGCGACGGAAGCTCATTTCATGCTAATCTCTCTCCCTAATCTCTCTCTAATCTCCCCCATTAACACAACTGACGTGCTTGCGTCCAGGGATGGAATTCCTTTCCAGCTCAGACCCCGTCTGCTTGCCGATCGCCACGTATATAACCTCTTGTTGTAGCTGCTCTCTCGCTGGTTCAGCAGTTCGACTGCTGGATTATTTTTTTCTGCCTGAGGACAACCGCTTGTGTTGCGATCGAAACGTCGTGATATATTATTTTTTATTTTATTAAATTTTTCTACCTACATGACTTTACCAAAAGAACCAAAGAGTACAATAACATTTATTTTACATTCTGGGTGTTGGATGTATGTTGAACTTCTTTCACACCATATTCTTGGTTCTTTCGGTAAAGTCACGTTGAAGGGAAACAATAAATTAATAAAATATATATAAAACAATAAAATTCTCACGACGTTTCGACTGCAACACAAGCAATCATCATCAGATGTGGTTTTCTCACGACGTTTCGACTGCAGTCATCATCAGGTGTGAAAACCAACGGCAAGAACATTTGCCGTGAATTTCCAAAAAGTACAGAAAAATTATTTTGCAGTCGAAACGTCGTGAGAATTTTATTGTTTTATATATATTTTATTGTTTCCCTTCAACGTGACTTTACCGAAAGAACCAAGAATATGAATCACTGCAGTCACGAAAGCTTTAAATCAAAATTCTTTCACACCGTATGTAGCCAACCGCACTGAGGTCGCAATTTTTATCATGACTACAATAACCTAAACCATTCTTCCGTGTATTGCAAACATCAAGCTGTGATCTGATTTGAGCAATGTTGAATATGATCTCTGTTTTGGAAAAAAATATTCAATAACACTGCATTATTAACATTTTGTGAATAAATAATGAGCACATTATATTGTGTGAAGGGAGGCCATTGCCCAAAATGTCACCTTGTATATACTTCTCCCTTAATGGCCACAGTGTTATTGACAAATGTGTTGGGGATTTTTGTTATTTGTGTGCCACCACTGCTAATGCTGTAGCGTCACCAAATAGTTTTGTTTTGGAAGCCCATGCTAACCACTGTTTTTTTATGGAACATTGCACAAAAACTGTACCATGCATTTTTAACACCCGCCCCACCCCCCCCACCACCACAATCCCATCTAACCGAAGCTATTTATGATGTAAATGATTTTCCAGTTGTTCCCAAAAGGCAGTGCGGTAAATTGCAATGCCACGTAACCTAACTCAATATGTGTGCACACCAAGGGCACAATGCACCGACCTTGCCCAAACGAACGAGTTGGGTTAAGGGATTTATGAACATTGACGGCCGTCTGCTGATTTTGATGCATGACACAAGTGTTGCAAAGTAAAGGACATTTCACTGTTTAATATAATGGTGCATAATTACCTAATTAAATACGCTTTCAGGCTAAAACTTCAAATTAAATAAATTACATTCGGATATTTTTATCGCTTTTGATAAGCTATGAAGAATAACAGTGGTTATGACTCGCGTTTAATTATATGATACGCTCTTTAAAACGAGTGACTTATTGGACAGTGTATTTTAAGGATCAAATGTAAAGGATGCTTTAGAGACAATTAACCTCCTTTAAAGTGTATTAATATATGTATTGATGTATTGAGGTTGAGCTGCAGTGCGTCATACGATGTAACTTTTATTACTGCCTATTGCGCTAAGTTTTTAATGAAAATCATTTTTCTGTACTTTTTGGAAATTCACATTTGTAATTATCTTGCAAAGCGATTGGCACTGATTGCTTGTCTGGCCTCGTCAAGGGTACCCATGGCTGTGGCGTTCTAACTGTGTTATTACGAATCATTCATAATTACAGTAAGATGTAATACTGCACTCATTCAGTCACTATGTATTTCGGCCCAAAAATTCCCCATAGCATTTTTACATGAATATGGAAAATGATTGCAATGTCATCGCTGTAAAATTACAACTAAATAGGGCACAATGAAAGTGTTATTTTTACATTCACAATTTGAGTTAAATTTTTTACCTAATTAAAAAAAATGCATTCTCTGAGAAATCTGTCATGCTTAAATGTCACTCTCCATGTTTGTTTCTATAAACTATCCTAACAAGTGACCGTCCTTAATGAAGACTTCTGATTTAAAGCTTTCGTGACTGCAGGGATTCATATTCTTGGTTCTTTCGGTTTTATTTTTTTATTGTTTCCCTTCTACGTGATTTTTCCGAAAGAACCAAGAATATGAAGACTGTTCTATTCTTTATAATGCATTTCTAATTATGGTTACTGCCAACGAAACTCTGAATTTACATTCTGGAAGCAAAATCGGCCCTATTAAAGTCACTCGCTCAACTGCCCCATGAAATGTTAATTCATCTCAAGGGTCACAACTTGCCTCTGGTGTGCCCTCTTGCCATTTAAGTTTAATAATCCTATAAATGTGATATGAATACAGTTCACACAGAGCAAAGTTAGAAAGTTAAGTAGGACATATTTTGCAGGATCCATTGACTTCCTTGTTTGATTTATTTGTGTGCGTTTCTGTGGTTTCGTCTCACTAAAAGTACTGGCCCCAACGATCGATGGCTACACTGGGATTTCTGTGTATGCGTGCAGTGTTGATAATATGGCTACAGACTCGCACATTAATTTAAAGAAAACGAAGCTATATTGTAAACCCCTTTGGCTGGGTGTTGCTGTGATACGAGTGCTCAACTCTCAATCAAAGATGCAATTTCGAATTCTAGTCTGGTGCCAACTCGAAATGGAAATGTATATAATGCAGCCCCATCATACCGTTGCTGTGGTTTTCACACCTGATGATGATTGCTTGTGTTGCAGTCGAAACATCGTAAGAATTTTATTGTTTTATATTTTTATTATTTTATTGTTTCCCTTTTCTGTGACTTTACCGAAAAAACCTAGAATATGAATCCCTGCAGACACGAAAGCTTTAAATCAAAATCAGTTCAGTTGAGTTTATTTTTAATGACCCTGTGGAATTCTGCAAAGGTCATCCATCCATAGGGGGAGAGACTTTCCCCCACCATGCGAATGTGGAATGTCTACCACTGGCTCGGGGTTGCCAACAGAAATGAGCATCGCAACCATATTTGTTTAAACAGGAAGACCACTTTGACTCGACGGAGATTGTCAGCCCGTTGGTGCGTGTCCATGTAATCTATGCCAGGTGTTCACTGATGGAGCCGATCCGGACCCGTACGTCAAGACCTACCTGCTTCCCGACCCAAACAGAGTCACCAAGAGGAAGACCAAAATCGCCCGGAAGACACTCAACCCCACCTACAACGAAATGGTAAGGGTGCACAAGCAGAGAAGCATTCGGATGTCTCACACTTCACATAGGTATGCCGTCTTGTATGAGCTGTATTTTTAGCAAATTATTCGGGACTGATTTAGTTTTTTCCCCATTGCGCATTTAAGGCTAAATAATGTCACCTGTAACTTTTGCTTTTTTATTTTCCAGATGTATCTCTCGTTTGTACTCCCAGCATCATGAGAAGTTGCTGAATTTTGATGCGCAGTATTTTTCTTACAAACTGCTTTTGAGCGTTTTCTTATGCCAAACCTTTCAGTACCTTAGATCAGGCATATTTCTGGCAGAGTGAAAAAAAAAGGTTGCGAGGTACGGTAGCATTTGCGACATTGGCCACGATGACCCTTTGATCGTCACATGTCACAGTTCACACGCTGTAGACAGCCACTGATATAACCACACCTTAAAGGTGATGATCGTGAGTTGGCGTAGTATCATCCAATGACTCAGCCGCTGGCCCCATGCCCCCTTCCCCCAGCTCGTGTACAACTGCTTCAGCAAAGAGGCTCTGAAGCAGCGGCGACTGCAGCTGAGCGTGTGGAGTGCCGAGGCCCTGCGCGAGAACATCTTCCTGGGCGGCCTGAGCTTGTCCCTGCGGGAGCTGGACTTGGACCATGAGACCGTGGGCTGGTTCCCCCTGCAGGGCTCGCTGGGAGAGTAGCCGGCCTGGGCCCCGGCCAACCAACCGCCCGCTCCGAGAACAGTTGCACGCACTGGAGGGGTTTCGCTTGAACTCGGCGAGTTGAGCGCAGGAGCAAGCGCCCACTCGCCCGCACTGAGGCCGGTTTGCCTGGCCGCTTTGCTCATTCCAGCGGCGGCGGCGGCAGTAGCAGCAGCAGCAGCTCCGTGGTGCTAACTTTCTGAACGTGAAAATAACAATAACCGAGTCTGCTGAGGCAGTGCCTGCACAGGCTGAGCCCGCGTAGCTCGCGGATGTAATGCGTTGTGACCCCGTGGTCGCTGGCTTAAATGTTATAGTTTTATGGATGGGGGGCAGCGGCTGATGGCATCGAGCATCAATCGGCAGCCGACGGGAGTGGGAGGGACGCGACTGAAGACGATGCCGAGCAGGGCGAAGGACTGACTGGTGGAAACACCGACAGTTCTGACATGTCATCTCAGTCACACACTGCTTAAGCCATTTACCAGCCATAACTCCCCTCCAATAACCTTGCTCCTAAGTGGGAGTACAAGGTTGGTTAGCACTTGCTAGTGTTAGTGCATTCCACTATTTTCTTTATCCACGAGTACAGCCGAGTGCCTTCTTGCTCCAAACAATGTAAATGACTCATGGAAATATTCTCATGCGAAACCCTCCAAGCAACCATCTGCTGCATGAAATACCATTGCAGTCACCGACAGTACGTCGTGTCGATAATGTTAACAGGCGCCGCAAGCCACCGAATGGGTTCAGTCGGATACCACCTCCTTGGGGGTTTAAATCCAGATTTCTGTTGTCAGTAGGAAGCTGGCAGTCCTCAGCACGCACATTGATGTTTCAGCATGAGGTGACCCTGACGACAACTGATAAAACTGCCCAGCGTATGGCCATTGGTTATTTCCGTGGACACCACCTCGTACGATAATTAAAGTAAGTAATAGTTTTAAAGAGGACGTGTGCAACTGCGCACTGCAGTGAGATAATATAACGGCACGAATGGGGTTGCAGGTTTGAGAATGTTGACACTGCTCTTGTGTCTACAAGATTATTTAAGCAGAGCAAAACCATGCTCGTGCAGTTTTAATGAGCAACATCGACCGCAACATTGTCATCGTGGTAGCTGACTTGGAGACGGTGGCTTCTGCTTCCCAGCTGTTGAGGTCAATAGATCCCACCTTCCCAAGCACTGCCTTGTGTATAGAACATAGTTTTTGTTCATCCTCGGTAATGGCTTAGAATACCTTGCAATGTCAGTTATTTGATGTGGTAGCTCGCCATTCTTGTAACATAAATACATAATGCACTAAGCAAATAACAAGCAACGACATTTGCCTAACCTTTCAGTCGGGGCAAGAATGGACATGAAAATTATTATTTTAAAGGCACTTGCAGTTGACCTTTTAACAATACAATTATGCTAGACAAATTGGAGTTATACCACTGTGCTATTTTTTGCAATGCTGCTAAATAACCATCAGCTATAAAACAAAATGTCGTGTAAATGCGAATTCATGAAGTTTCCCTGTTTTTTTTCTGGGCAAAAGTGGTGCACATCATTATTTGTGAACACCCATAAATAAAGAAACGGACCGTGATGTTGAGAACGAGGCCGTAATGATGCCGCTATGGTTACTTGTCAGGTGGACGATGCAGCTAATTTTGAAGGACAAAAATGGAGTAACTATGGCCTTGAAATTCCCATTACTGTGAGGGCTTGAAGGGGGACCAAATGAGAGCCATGCCCGTACCGGTATCTGATCCCATGCGGGTGTGAAACACACCCACGCGACGCAAACCCGAGGCAAATGCGCCCGCCCTCGTCGGCAAGTTGCTGCGACTCGTGTGGACACGGGTCCAGCCGACGACTACTGGGGATGAACAGATGAGGCATTATGGGCCACTTGTGCGAAGGCTTTAACCGGACGGGATTGTGCGCGTTTGTTTGGATCGATGTCACGTGCCTTTTTGGGGGTGACCTGCGCGTGCCAGCAAGGCGCGCAACGGAGGAAGGCAGCAATGCCAGGCATTATTGTTGAATGTAACACTCCACGAGTTTACAACTGCGCTGGAGCCGCGTATAAAACGTGTGAGGCGAAGTGTGAATTGTTATTCACTCGTTCACTTCAGACAACAGACTGTGGCAATTTGCTAATCGCTAGATGAGAAATTGTTGAATGGTTCGTCTGAACGAGAGAGGCGTAAGTGAAAAGGGCAATGCGTGCACACAAACGCAATGTGGTTTTTGCACTCTTAGAGAGTGCACGCTTATCCGTAACCAAAATTTGTACGAGTTAATTGAGAGCATGCAGACACCATGCCTGGAGGTATCTCTGAACGTGACAGAGCGTCCAATAGTCGATCACGTGAAAGGAAATTGTTCATGGTGCATTAGAGTTCGTGAAGTAGCTCTTGTTTTGCAGCTGTAGGAAATCCCCTCGCGCGTTTCTGATGAGATAATATGAACGTACGGTGAGTGCATTGAACTGCGATTCGGAGGAGCGAGGGTGTGTGTAACCTGTCCGGGGGGTGGTGTTCACAGCCTTGTGTGAACGAGGCCAGCAGCAGGTGCGCGCACACAACGTATGAGCCCTCATTCTCACGTTTCTGGTATCTGCACTAATTACCAATTTGTTTCCCACCCCCACTGGTTCATCCGACATGCATGCTTCCACACCCCCCCCCCCCTTCATATTGTGTACAGCGCCTTGGAATGCAGTTGCATTTATATGCTGCAAGTTCAAATTATAATAAATACATCAAAATCTGTACCGATAATTAGTTTTGAGATTTCTAAAATGGTTAAAACGACTGAATTTGATGGACCAATACTTTGTGTAATGCATACACCGCTTTATGCACCAAATTGCTCACAAAGAAAGTTCAGCAATATTTAAATTATCTTGGGAATCTGTGTGTCTTTGCTTATAAAATACCCGAGGCATACAGAGCCAGTGTAGTTACATTCATGTGAAGAGCAGTTGCAGTGAACTGCAGGCACCTTAAATTTTGATTTAAAGCTTTCGTGACTGCAGGGATTCATATTCTTGGTTCTTTTGGTAAAGTCACGTAGAAGGGAAATAATAAAATATAAAACAATTATCACAACGTTTCGACGTTGGTGTGAAAACCACACCTGATGATGATTGCTTGTGTTGCAGTTGAAACGTCGTGAGAAAACCACACCTGATGATGATTGCTTGTGTTGCAGTCGAAACGTCGTGATAATTGTATTGTTTTGTATTTTTATTATTTTATTGTTTCCCTTCTACGTGACTTTACCGAAAGAACCAAGAATATGCAGGCACCTTATGACGCTTCACCTGTTACGCTACGCATGCCAGCTCTGCTTTTCTTCGCTTAGTTCTTTGATGTCTTGAGTGCCAAATAAATTGAGAATTTATCACAACATGAAGAATATAAGTTAAGGGAATTTGTGTAAATCTAAAACCTCGCTCGTTTGTTTCGATTTGTTACAGTATTTTGTTATGTTAATATGTTTTAGCACTAACCGTTTAATATTTACGCCTATTTCTCCAACCCAAGCATCAAATCCCTTGTTATTTTAACACAAGCACTCTCCATGACTGGGTAGTTGCAAGAACAGCAATTGAGTTACCCGATCACGAATCACGACTAGCCAATGTTTGACTTTAATGTACTTCATAGATGTCTCATTATTTCTGATTTAAAACTACTTTTGTCAGTTCATTTACTTATAAATTTTGTTAATTATTATTAATGTGCAAATTCACTGCTCCCTAACATGGGCCTCTATCAATGGAACACAGCGTCTAGTGGATGAATAGGCCTCATATTTTATCAATGGTTATTTAGTCTGACGAGGTTTTATGTCCTTTGATTTAGCCTAATCAAACAACTCTGTACCATTAAGGCAGTAGTGCCACTGACCTTTCATTCCTACAGTTAAGGCAAACACTTGGGCACCAGTAAAACAAATGTTTAAATATTTTTCAAATGTTTAAAAAAATAACATGTTGCCAGTACTTGTGTAAAGAACACTTTCTATTTCCATCAAGTGATGGGTTACAACCTTGCTCGTGTGTTGTTCATGCTAGTTTATGTGTGTGTATATATAAAGTAAAACATACTTGCAGACTTTATTAAGGTCGTGCTCTCTCCGCCGCTAACTTCAAAGCGGTTGTATACACGCTTCTTACACTGTGAAAATCGTGTGAATAGACTGCCGGTGGATTGTTAGGATTCATTAAATCGTGTTTTAAGAGTTGCAAGCGGTGTTGTATATGCCGGGTCTTGAAAATTTGATGAAAATAATAAAAATTACATGAAATTTGGAAAAATGCGTAATTATCCGAAATTATGTTAATTCATATAATTATGCACATTATGCTAATTCGAAAGCTCATCGTATTGATTTATGTGAATGTATGCGCTTATGCGATCCGTTATGATAATTAGGCCCTGCCTCGCTGACGAGGGTAGTATCAATTGGGATCATGCAATTAATTGTATGAAGTTATGCAGGTGTGCTGTAAGTATGCTAGATTAAGCTCAGCTTCGTTGTCTAGGTTCGTATTATCAACCGGTATAATACAATTAATTCTCGCTTTAACATTTACTGATTATGTCTTAGTGTTTTTATGTCAGGTCTCCAAATTCAAATCTCACTGCAGGATACAGTTCTTATAATTAAGATTATTATGCATGAAATTAGGAAGGCACCACGCAGACACTTGTGTTAAGCAATTTTAATTTCTAAACAAAACCTTAACACTCTTATATGTGAACTCTTATGCTTGGAATTGTCAACAGTACTCCTGGAGATGTTCCCCTCATTGATCCATACATTTAACCTTCAATGATCACCTTTGTTAACTGGGTAACAGAACAATCGATTATTCCTCAGTACGCGAGCATACATGGCGATAGGAACAAAAAGTCCTTCAAAATTCATGTAACGATATTCATACGAAGGCAATAAAGAAACATGCCCCGAAGGCAAGAGTAGTTATCAATTAATTCATTGGCAAGATTATGCAATTAACGAAAACGGATGAGTAAAATACTTACAAACAATCGTATTCATGTAACTTGACGGGCAGCAATGCTTTTCACGATCAGCTGATATTTAACGCACCACCTTGGAATGGCAACCCTTCTTGAAACACAAAGAAACCTTTTTGGAACAGTCTTATTTGTCCCGATATGCGTGTTGTGTCTTCGTTGACACATGTTGTTCAATTCTTTGCGTAAAGCAGACGCCGAGGTTGGGCATCCCTTGTATCAAAAATGTTTGTTCCCTGCGGAGCGGTGAGGGTGTGTGTATCATACGGACAGCTTGGCACTCCTCCTTTCACACGGGCTGCCACAGTTTCTGTCCACAGCTGGCTGGAAGAGTCGGCACGACGTTCGCCGTCTGTGCGCGATGATCCGTCGTCAGATAGCGCCCGCAGCTCGTCCGCTGGCTGCAGCTCCTCACTCTTGTCTTGGTTCCCAGCCGGTGCCGCTCGGTGTGCGTGTGGGTCGAACCCACGGCGCGCTCGCTGGCGTCGACACTCTTGCTCACGGGCGGCGGGTCAGGCTCTTTCCCCTGCTGGATGAGCCGAGTCGGCACAACGCTTGTCCGCTGGCAGCTGGCACCCTCGCTTGGTGGCGCAGCTGCGCGCTCTCTCTCTTGCTCCGTCTCTCTCTGGCGGTGCCGATTGCGCGTGCAGCTGGTTCTCTGCAATGCTGGCTTGGTCGATGCTTGGCCCTCTCTGCCCTTTCTCGAGGTTGACTGCTTGAAGCTGAGAATAACTTTCAGCGATACTCTGTCGGTCCATGCCGAACTCAGCACAGAGTATCACCTCGCCCCTCTTCTCTGCGATGCACCACACGCATTGTTGATCTCGAGGCCATGCCCCAGAGCTGGCTTGCTGTCCTCTTCCGAGCTGCTGTGTGTCTTCTTGTCGAGCTGTCCCTTGCCGAGCTGATGGTCGCCGTCTTCTGCCGCTGGTAGCTGTAATGCAATGTATGGCCCGTGTCTCTCTTTTTATGCCAAAATTTCTTCCTCTGCTCACCTTCTCACAAAGGACGAGAACTTCCTTTGATCTCACTCTGTGTTGTGGGGGGGGGGGGGGGGTTGTACGTGTGTCTGTGTGTTTGTGTGTTCTGATTTATTAAGCCATCTGTGTTTCTCCCTGGCTTGATTACTGTCGCCCTCAAGCCATCTTTTCATCTGTAGAACACAGATGCCCCACCTGCAATAAAAGCTCTCTGTAAGAGTAATTTCTCTCGCTCTGGGCGTTACATTCTTTGCTATCCCGTGCTGCGGGAAGACAAAGACGGTTGGGAGGCTCTTTTCCTATGGGATACAGTTTATCTTGGTTGTGTAAGTTTGACCTATTTCGCCTCATCTCTTCTGGATAACCCTCGGTTTAATACTGCATAATTATTATTTGGTTTATGTTTCCCAAGATTTGTGATTTAACATCATCACCACGTATTTCTTAGGGTTTATTAATTTCGTCCCCCTGCCTGTATCCTGGGTTTGTGCTGGTTGTTCGAGTTATTGTTATTATCTGATATCCCGAGGTTAGAGAATTCGTTTTGGCTTAAGAATAACCCTGACTGCCAGAATTCTTCTTGATGCTTCAGTCAGGTCGTGTAGAAAATTATTAAAGGTGAAAATAACATCAGTATTGAATTAATGAATGAGGAGTAATGATCCACTGATGTAGATTGTAGCCTTGTTTTCAATTGGAGTGAGTGTGAGGATCGATAATGTTAGCTTCATCTTTGGTCGCTAAGTTTTGGAATTTTTACCGTTTGTTAGAAGAAACATGAAAGTTAACCAAACGAAACGCCTGTTTGTTATCCTTCGTCGGGGGGGGGGGGCGTGTGTGTGTTTTTTTCCTTTATGACTGACCCCTTTCTGGTGGGAGGGGAGAGTGTCATTATCTTTGCGAGAATGACAAGGCAGCTGCTTGAGAAGCGGGGGGGGGGGGGGTTCCGTTTGTTTGTGCTCCCAGCGACCCCGCGAGTGATTATATGAAAACAATTGGCAAAATCATTCTTAAAATAAAAAATGGAAAATGGCCTATATATACAACATTCCGCCCTTTTAAAAATGATCAGTGGTCAAATGGCCACGGGTTATTTTTAAACAAAAGAAATGCCTTTTTCCATCATGAACCATCGACTGTCCTCAAGTTTCGGCTGCTATTTTTCTTACAACGCGCGCGTACGTGTCATAAACTTAGCATGGTTACATTTGAAATAAGAAAATACAAAAATATTAAGGCAACATGTTACATCGGTTCTATCAATTATTGTTACTGTGATTTTTGGGGGGTTTTAGTTCCTGGGAAATGCGAGGCAACGGTTTCAAACACGGTAGTGCATTGTCTTCCTTATGTTACCTCTTTGCCAGATGTTTACCAAGTTATGAGTGTTCTCATGGCCAGGTATTTTAGAGTAACCTATTACCTTTTCACACAACATCACAACATCATCCTCCTGGTTCATTGTCGTTATGGCTTTGATCAAATGAGCACGGTTTACTGGTTCGTTTTTGTATTTTTCTATGTCACTCTCTTTCCATGTGGGACTGTGGCGTGAAGTTGTGTTGCACATAACCAGAATGAGCACACACGAGTTTCCGTGCCCGACTGTCGGATGCAATTGCCTTCCCCGCAGCAATATGCGGATTTTTGGACTTGAGTCGATTCGATTCTGTGCCACGTTGGATCTCCCTTGTTGTGCTTTTGAGTGTGCGGGGTTTCAACACAATTCCCGATCCATCATGGAT